GTCTTAGACCCTCATTGTTGGGCATTGAAGAGAGAATCAGTCCTATATTCATTCATGGAACATAATTGTTTGTGAAAGTGTTTTCTGAAAAAAAAATGTATTATGATAAAGTATACAAAACATAAAATTTGCAGTTTTAACCATTTACTACTGTACAGTGACATTGAGTACAGTCACAATGTTGCATGGAACCATCATTCCCCTCCAACTCCAGAGCTTTTCATCATCCCAAAATGAAAGAGTCTATAAACCATATATGTAAAGTGGGTCAATTAGCAGTGCACTATCTGAAGTCTGGACTGGGCAACAAATCTACACATCCATACCTAGCATTTATGATGTAAATAGAAAACTGAATGAGACCAGAACCATGCCAGTGAGAACCCTGTAGTCTGCGATGCTGGGTTCCTGTCCCATTTTAAGGCAGAGTGGAAAGATACAAAGCATTCTTAGACAGAAGTGTGTAGCCTGAAGGAATGCAAGTTTTCCTTATTCTCCTAGCCCAGAGAAATGGGAGGTGCTCTCCCCTGAGGCCCCAGCTTCTCCTGGTTACCAAGAAGTGTGGAACTTTCTTTCTTGCTTATTCTGTTTTGGTCTTTTGCACAGGGAGACAGATGATGTAATAGCTGACATTTATCTACAGGTTTTCAGTTGACTTAATCCTTCCCCAGAGTTCTTGTTTGACCTTCACACTAGCAGACAGTAGGGCAGAGAACACTATTTTATGGATTTGGAAGCTAGGGCTCAGAGCACCAAGAAGTTCCAGGTTTTGCCTAAGGTCACACAACTGTGTTCATGTTCTTATTCTGAGCAGATCGTTAGGGATTAGAGAAAACATCTGGGAGAGGCACAGCCTGGGTAAAGTTGGTCAGTTCCATACCAGGAAGGAAGAGAACCAGGCAGGGAAGCATCTTTTATGCACAGAAGCATGGAGCCTAAGTCAGATTGAGTTGTTGAGCCGCCTGAGGATAATGGATTGCTACTAGCAACAGCTGGGGAGGCTGCTGGGGTGATGAGATGGAATGGGGCATCACACTGTCTGAAATGCAATTGAATCACAGCAGCTGGAATGCTTCTCAGCACTCTGTTTTAAGAGCCAGAAGCAGCAGCTCATTTTGAACCAGTGAGGCAACCCCATGGGTCTACCAGACCCCAGAAGCCCAGCCATCTAGCCTCCGGGAACTGGGGCTCCAGTGGACTGGCTCACCAAGTGGTGGGCCTTGTTCTTGAGAAATGATGCTCTGTTCTCAAGGCAACCATTGTTTGCCAGACATTGTGCTAAGCATGAGGCAGAGATGAATGTTCCTGCCCTCGGGAGTTCAGTCCAGTGCATTTCACTCATTACAGCCCTGTGGGCACTGTGTATAAATAAGCACAATACAACATCATTACAGAATGGCCTTGGGGAGCCTATAGACTGGATGTTAAATCATATACCCTGACACTCTGTCCTTGACCTGGTGCTGCACATGCTCAATGAATTCTACTTCCATAGTCATCTTACTCAAATTCATTAGGAGGCTCCTTGAGCTGTACATGTTTTGATTCCAAGTTAAAAAAAAAATCCCATTCCTTCTGTCCATGTTCTTTGGACATTTTTGCTTAGTAGTGCAGAGTTTTTATGGGTAGTATTTACTTTTATAGGTCAGATGGATCCAGTCATAATTCATTATGATGGCATGCCACACTGGCCCTAAGTGTCCTCATTTTCTGGGTGGAGAGTCTCCTGGTGGTATGTCGACAGCCTGCAAGTACCACTTCCAAATCAGAGCCAAAGTGTTGATGAAGTTCTAGCCCTGACAGAGGCGTCTGTTCTTGGACTTGACTCAGTCCTGTCCCAGGATGATAAATGAACACAACCTCATTAATGAACAAGTGCTTCTCAGTTTCTACATTGAGTTCAGGTCCTCAGCCAAGCACCATATGGTTTCCCAACCCCCATCATTTCCAGGAAGTTTCTTCCTAAGTAGGATACTTTACTGAAACTGGCTCCACTGAATCGTGTGAAAGTTGGAGTTATGATGTTCTTTGTTACTGTTACTGTTTATAATTAACATATTTATTAATAGGCACATTAATGGAGGTGGGAAGTGGGGGAGGTTTAGAAAGATCCTACATCATGTTAACCATCATCATCCTTACCCCTCCCTCTGACACACACACCCCCAAGGTAAGAAGGGAAGAAATAACAAAGGGTAAAATCTTATAGATTTTGACTGAACTTTGTTGGGATTTGTGTAGCCAATTTCTTTTCCCCCAGATAATGGGAGGACAGTGCTCTTAAGCCCAGTCAGCAAGAAGTTACTTAAATCTTTGTTTCTGTATGTTTGCGTACTGTAATTTCATTATTTTGAAGTAATTAAACACTTCTGATCTGTAGTATTCTCCCACCTATCCTTTCTGAGTGAAACTTTGTGAAATGTCTGGCTTCCTGGCAGGAAAGGGAACACTGCCTGAGGGTTTCTGGCCTTCTTCACTTCCTCAAAGAGAGGGATATTTTCTTGGGCAGCTCATCTGCAGCAAGACATCCAGAAGCTCAAGGTGGAGGGAACAGTTTTCAGACCTGAAAGATTTCTGACTTTATATCCCTCCTCCAATCCAGAAGATAGGAAAGGCTTTAGGGAGGAGGTTGGAAGTGGGGCTAAGGCATGAGAAAATACTGGAAATGTTGTGTGAAGTGTGAGGAAGGAAGCAAGAACTGGCAAGCAGAACTTGTTTTGTGCACAGTAGAGATGGCTAGCAATGTGAGGTCTTTGAAACTTTAAAGCCGCTATGTTAAATATGTTCAAAGACCTAAAGGAAAGTCTGAGAACAATGTCCCACCAAATACAGAGAATCAATAAAGATATAAAAATTATAAAAGGGACCAAACAGAAGTTCTGGAGTTGAAAAGTACAATGATGGAAATGAAAATTTCACTAGAAGGTCCCAATAGCATATTTGAGCAGGCAGAAGAAAAAAGTCACTGAACTAGAAGATAGGGCTGTTGAGATTATCCAGTCTGGGGAACACAAAAAATAAAGAAGGAAAATCAACAAAACCTCAGAAAACCATCAAGCATATCAACATATGCATCCCAGAAGTTCTAGAAGGAAAGGAGAGGGAGAAAGGGATATAAAGAATATATAAGGAAATAATGACTAAAACCTCCCTGAATTTGATGAAAGCCATCAATCTACCCATCCAAGAAGCTCAAAAAACTCCAAGTAGGATAAACTCTAAGAGATCTATAGCTAGATACATCAAAATCAAACTGTTGAAAGACAAAGACAAAGAATTTTGAAAGCAGCAAGACAGAAGCAACTCATCACATACAAAAGAACCTCAATAAGATTAACAGCTACTTTCTCATCAGAAACCATGGGGCCAGAAACAGCGGATGGTATATTCAAAGTAGCAAGGGGAAAATAACCCCGTCAGGCAAAAGTTCAATATCTGACAAAACTATCTTTCAAAACTGAAGGATAAATCAAGACATTTTCATCTAAATGAAACTGAGAGCAGTGGTCTTTAGCAGATCTTCCCTACAAGAAATACTAGTGAAGTGAAAGACACTAGATAGTTACTTGAATCAACATGAAGAAATAAAAAGCACTGGCAAAAGTAATTACATAATTAAATATAGAAAATAGTATGAATGCATTTTTTTGTAACTTCTTTTTAAATCTGATTTAAAAGAGAACTGCATAAAAGCAATAAAAATAAATCTATGTTGGTGGGAAGGAAATGTATAAAGATGTAATTTGTGACAATATCAACTTACAGGAGAGGGGAATGGAACTATACAGGAGCAAAGTTTTGTGTGGTATTGAAATTAAGTTGGTATTAATCCAAACTAAATTGTTATAAACTGAGATATTAATGGTTACTTTCAGGGCACCAACCAAGAAAATAAATTTAAAAAAATACTAAATGAAACAAGAAGATAATTAAAATAGTATACTAGAAAATAACTAACAAAAGAAGGTGGTAATGGAGAAGCAGAAGAACAAAAAGACATATGAAATATAGAAAAGATATAGCAAAATGGCAGACACAAATCTTACTTTACCCAATATATTAAATGTAAACAGAGTAAACTTCCCAGTGAAAAGGCAGAGATTGGAAGAATATATTAAAAAGACATGATCATACTATATGTTGTCTACAAGAGATTCAGTTTAGATTCAAAAGCATAAATAGGGAGAAAGTACAAGAATGGAAAAGGTTATAGCAACAGCAACCAAAAGAGAGCTGGAGTGTCTCTACTAATATCAGACAAAATAGACTTTAAGACAGAAATTGTTACCAAAAGCAAGAAGGACACCTTATAATGATAAAGGGTCAATTCATAAAGAAGACATAACAATTATAAACATATATGAACCCAGAAATAGAGTCCCAAAATCCTTGAAGCAAACCACATTAGGAGAAGGCAGCTCTGTCCTAAATACTTGAATCCCGTGACCACTAGGATTTATTCCCTTGAGCTAGAATTTTGCCTCCTTTAAAGTTCTTTCTTAAAGTATACATATAGCCCTTAAGCCACAATTTGCATTAATACTTTAGCTGAAATTGGTTTAAGATCCTTTAGAGCATTGACTGCTAGTGACAGAGACAAAGGGTTGAGCTATTTTTGATAGAACGTACAGGTGTGACCTGGAATGGGCTCAAGGGGTAGAGTAGGGAAGAGTGGAGTCCAAGATTGGGTTGAAGTGTTAAGGAAAGACAAAGAGTATCAGATGGAGAGAGGTGGAAGAAAGCTAGTATATTACAGAGGAACAGAGAAGACCCCCAAAAGACCATCAAACAAGATAAATGGTAGACAAATAGCAAAACAACTGGGGCAGGGCATCTGGGTGGCTCAGTCGGTTAAAGCATCTGATTCTCGGTGTTGGCTCGGGTCATGATCTCAGGTTGTGAGATCAAGCCCCACATATGGCTCATCAAGGAGTCTGCTTGAGTTTCCCTTTCCTTCTCCCTCTGTCCCTCCACCCTGTGCATGCTTGCTCTTTCTCTCTCGTACTCTAAAATAAATAAATATATCTAAAAACAAATATCACAAAAAACAACCAGAGTTTTGGTTTGGTGCTGAAGCCCCTGGTTTGGCAACACAGGGCTGAGGGCAGCCGGAGATGACAGAAGAAGTGAAAGGAGTCATCATAGGGAAGAAAATGTGGGGCCAATGATGGTGGAGAGCAGAGGTCATTCTTAGGTAAATACCCTAACAGCAGGTCTCAGGTGCTGTCTGTGTCCTGGAGAACCACAGGAAGGGAGCAGAGTGAATTATGTGGATTATGCGGAAGCAGACCACATACACTGCAAGATATGGTACTGACTGGAAAACCAGGAAACCCACAGGAACGAAGGAGAACAGGGCCAGGAGCAATGCCAGAAACAATCTCATATGCCAAGGAAATGGGCTCAGCAATTGGGTACTCAAGTAAGGTAGTGTTTATGAGAACACCCACTTACAGGGCTTAGTAAGTGTTAGCTGGTTCTCAATCTGAAATTAGGGCAAGGTTAGTGGTCTGGGCAGTGACTTGATGTTGACAACAAAGGTAGCCCCTATGTGTTAGCACCTATGTGTACTGGGCACTGTGCTAAGTATTTCACATTCATTGCCTCATTTAATACTTAATGTGTCCATGTGAGGTAGACATTGAAACCTCCGATCTACAGATGAACAGGAACCCTGGCCAGGTGACTTCAAGTTAATTACAGCTATGGAAATAGTTTGGAGCCCAAGATTTCTCTGACAGCACTCTGCCAGGCACTGGGACAGGCTCACAGTCACCGGGGTGACTTTGATCACCTTGATAGCTTAAGGGGAATTTGGAGAGAAGGGGAGGCTCTGACCTTGGGACACAAAACTTCTCAGAGGCTCTCTGAGGTCCCATCCTCCATACTTGTTTCAAGTGGGGTTAGAGAAGAAAGCAGCAGGGGCCTAAAGACCCTCACTGCCCTCTCTTCTCTGCCTGGACTTTTGAGGTTTTGTGGGGATTTACCCTACATGCTGTAGGGTCAGGAACTAGGGTCACTCCACCCTGTTCTAAATCCTGAATGCTTTTCTCCTAAATGGAAAAATGTAGCCCCAAGCCAGGGACTTGGTATAGGATATAAAGGCATCTGCGGGCTTGGGAAACTCCAGGTATAGCCAGCTTGCCCCATAAGTTCCAACCGCCATCTCTGCTTTTTTGTTTTCAGAAGCAGGAGACTCAGTTTACTTTCTTTATGGTGATCCCTACCTTCTATCTGCCCCCGCCCTGCTCAACAACACATACTCACACAGCAACACACACCCACACAGATGCTGGAGGGCCACTTCTGGGTGACCCATCACCCCCTGCATCCCACGAATGAGACAATTGCCATGGTCTTTTCTTAGAGAAAGGAGCTTCCTGTGAGTTCCCTTCAAATTTGGACTGAAGGCAAGGCCAGCCTAAGTTAGAAAATGAAGTTATCATCACAAGGACCCTGAGCAAGAAGAACCAGAAGCATCAAAGAGCCCAACTTTCATTTTACTGATGAGATGGTAGCTCAGACAGGGAGCTGGCTTCCCCAAGATCATGGGGCACCTCCTGGGGCTCAGTGCTGGCTTTTGTGCTGTACCATCCATGGGCTCCCTGGTGCCTCCAAGCACCAAATGAGGGAGAGAAAAGCCTGAGAAAAGGAGGTAGGCACTTGCCTGGTGACCCATGGAACTCTGACACTTCTAGGAGTCTGGGGAGGAGGCTACAGGGAACACCCTTAGGAACTCTGACCAGAAGACACTCTACTACCAAGTTGGCTGTGTACCGTTGTCTTGAATCTTCTTGGAGGCCTGTGGACTCTTTGTGCTCCTCTCCCTTCCTATGTTGTGCCACTTAGGTATGGATACCACTCACTTTCCTGTAGGGCTGGGCCTACAGCACATGAGTGGTAGAGGGCGGTGAGCTTTATGATCTTTTCATCCAGGCTCCCACCCAAGAATGCCCTCCCCTCACCAGCCCCCCTGACGGCCAGCCAGGGATGCTGGAGCCCAGCTGGGGCTGGGAACTCACCACCACCCAGATGAAGGGACCACACACGGGCCCAGATCATGCCCCATAATGCAATATCCCAGGGATGTTGAAGTCTGCAGCTACGCTCTGCTCACTTCTGAAACACCAGCTATATGTCAACAACATGGCCACACTTTCTTTTTTTAAATATAGTCTTCTGGAAATAAAATAATAAAATAAAATGAAGTCGGTAACTATGGACCCAGTGCTGGGCCTCACTGCCTGCATGTCAATCTACCCCATTAATCATCATGTACAATTTTTCAAAGAGCTATTTTGAGAAACATTGGAAAATGGCTTTCACAGAGCTATATATACCTTATTTATACACCAGAAATGGTCGCTCTGTTTAGCAGCAGATGGGTTTTTCCCCTCGTTTTCTTCTCGTCTCTTAGTCAAAGTTAAGTAGGAACTAAGCCCACTCACTCACCCCAGGCACACATTTATCACCCACAGTCCACCTTGGAGTCAGGGCTGTGGGTAGGGGGTTGAGAAGAAAGGGTGTGGGTTTCTCATAAGGCATGTTCCAGAGACTGCGAGGGGACAAATACAGGAGGCATGGTGGCTGCTGAGACACGGGGCTCTGCAGCCCAGCAAGGAGCAGAACCCCTGCGGGTGGGGTGTGCAATAGAATGTGGACGCTTTTCTCAACACCACGTGGGCATCTCGAGGTCTATGAAGCATATGCCAAGAGCATCCCATTGATATCCAGAGAACAGGAGCCAAAGGAAGTCCCACCGCCCTGGTCCTGTGTCTTTGGCCTACAGGAAGCAGCAAGTCCGCCCTTCGTGGTTGCCATGGCAACCATGGCGGTGCATTTCCTAAGGGCAAGGGGAGCAGAAGGGAGGTGGGGAAGGCATGTGGTGATTTTTCTGGAAAAGCCCATCTGTTTCTTTTCCCCACAAAACTAAGCTGGGGGAAGGGGTGGGAAATGGGCACCTGGGTCTAGAGAGAAGATAAAGAAGACGCCAAAATGCTCCAGGAGCAGCTTTCCGGGCTGGATGTACTTCCCCTCCTGTTGGTGGAGGCAAGTCGCTGACAGAAACAAGGGCTTAGGCGGGCTGTGGTGGCAGCATCCAAGAGGGAGCCCATGTGCAGGAACCAGGGTAAGTCCCCTGACCTCATATCCACACGGAACAGGGCTGGGAGGACTCTTATCAGCCACAGCAAGACTTCTTTTTGGCAGGGCGGTCAACTTGTATTGTGTCCTCCCTGGCTGTATCTTCTTGTTTCTTGAGGATCCTGGGAGAGGGGAAGGTATAACATCAGTAGTGGAGAGCACTAGGTCCTGCGGTCACAGGCCATTTGGATGATAAGGAAGGAACTCAGCCTCCTCACCAGAGCATCAGAGAATTCAAAGTGTCCCTCTGGGAAGTACAGGTATGCAACCATAATTTGTAAAGACAACGTTTAGGCAATATGGATCTTTCATGACACCTCTTCCAAGAAGCCTCGCCCGATTCTCCAGGTGGTGTAAGTGTCCCTGACGGCATTCTAGCCATTTCTCTGTTATAACCCCATCACCCTGTGTCAGAAGGTGCTTTCACCCTTCTGAGCGTGGCTCCTTCAGGTGAGAAAGCTGCTTGAAGCCAGGATTGTATGTTTTTTCTCTGTATCTCTGTAGCCTGTCTAGTACCTGGCACACAGTAGAGACTCAAAAAGTATACTTTTGCGTTATTAACCCCATAGGAGGTCTGTCCCATGTCGCTACAGTTCCAGATTAAATGTGGGAGGTGAAGGATTAAAAATAGTGCTAAGGATCGTATCCCTGCTTTATAGCCTCAGTGTGTTTTCACCTTTAGCATCTCTCTGGATATTTACAACAACCGGAGTCAGCAGGGATGCTATGACGGTTGTTTCTGTGTTACGGGCAAAGCTCAGAGAGGTAGAATGACTTGGCCTAGGAATCAGTGTCAGAGAAAAGCCTACATGGTCTTCCATGACTCCACAACCTCTCCAATGCATAGATAAAGTGGTTCTGGATAGACGGGTAGGTGAGTGGATGGGTGGGTGGATGGATGGAATGAAATGAATGCCTATAAATACGTGAATAAATGAATGAACGTCCAAGTATTGAGAATAGGGCCTTCTTCTACGGTTTTGGGATTTTTGAAATTTTGGTGTAGGGAGAGGCTTATGAAAACAGTCTTTTGGTGGAACTAACCCTTTAAGCATTGCCCCCTTGGTGCCTCTAGTTCCTCCCAAACAGCGCCTCCCTCCTGGCTTCTGCCCTCTTCCCTAGAGCCTATATTATAACTGTTGTTGTTCCCAGCTAGATGCCAAAGATTCCCTGCTGAGATACTGGCCAGTGTTTGGGGACCTGTGATGTGACCTTTCCCAGAAGCATTTGCATTTTAAAAGAAGATCCCTGGGGGAAAAGGCAGCTTTTAAGGGGCAGAAGAAGAAGGCAGTGGGGGGTGAGAGGCAGGGGAGGGTTTCCTTTTTGTCCCTATTGTATTTCAGAGGGCTGTCTCTGAACCCCACACAAAGGCCTTGGCCTCCAGCCCTGTTACCCAGAAGGCTCCCGCAGACAGAGGGCGGGCGTAGGGTCCGCACAGAGGTGAACGCAGGTGCTTCCCACCAGACCACGTCTGCAGGGATGCACCTCTGTACCTGGCTAGATGGAGCAGGGACTCTTTGGTGTTGTGACCGGAATAGGCACTGCATTCATAGAAGATCAGATTGTTCTCCTGGAATCATAAAGCAGAGGTGACAGAAAGAGAGTGCTGGGGGAGCTCGACGGAACCATGGGAGATGGGAAAGCAGCCTGTCTGCCTCTCTGGGCATCCCTCACTTCTCCTCGAAGACCCTCTTCATTTCTCTCCCCATCCCCACTCTGTATAAGAATGTTGATTTCCCTCGCTGCTCTAGGCTCCCTGTCTAAGGCAAGTTCTGTAACCATCTCCCAGGTGAGTTATAACAATTGTAAAACACAAAACAGTGTGCTGCCTTAGTGCTTTACACGTTCCCATAATTGCTCTCAGGTATGTACATGCTTGTTTCCTTTTCACACCAGCCTGTGATGCAGGCAAAGATACGAAGGCTGGGGTGGGCCATGTTCTTCCCACTGCACAGGCAGGGAAACCAAGGGCACAGTACAGACAGGGTCTGTTCCTTCAGTGACTTATATAGCTAATGGCGGGGCTTTTCGCAGGACACTGGCCCTGGGGCAGGTGTCCCTAAGACACTCCAGTAGAAAATCTCCTTCACACCAGTTAATGAACATTCCCCTGCCTAGGCTGCCAGCGTTGGTGCCACAGGACAACTGTCCATCACCTCAGTAGGCAGAGGCCATCCTGCCTGCACGGTGCGGGCTCTTGGCCAAGGCTCTTCATTACGCCCATTTATCAATCCTGTTAGTAGATTTCCTGCTTCCTCGGTCGGGACAGTGCTAATGGCAGGGAGGCTGATGCCCTGTGGGGATGCAGGCAGCCGAGGGAGGACACTTCTGCTGAGGTTTGCAGATCAGGGGACTCTACGGACACTGGCTCCCAGCTCAGCTTTCCTGACTCGCTGCCCCAGGGACCCCTGCTCCATCCTTGGTTCTCTTCCCCCAGCCCCCGTCCTTGGAACCTGACTCTGGGACAGTCTTCGGAAGAATAAAGCCTCCATGGTGGGGGGAGGGAGAGTTCACAGGATCTAGAATTCGAAGATGAGCTTTGCCTTCCAGCTGGCTTCCTGACTCCACCAGTGAGGACCCCTGTGAGAAACTGGATCAATACTAGTGTCTCAGAGCCTCGTTTTTGTTTGTTTGATTGCTTTCAACTGACCGAAAAGAGACAAAAGGGAAAAAAAAAACGGGGTGATAAAAACACAAGCCTGCGGTTCATTAATCAAAATCCTTGGATCCAGATGTATTTTGGGATGCAGAGATTCTGAGTCTCAGAGACACAGCAGATGTCTATACTGTGTCACCCTCCGTGGATCTGGGACAGCACCCTATAATCAAACATATTAATACTTCTTTGGTGAAACATTTGAAAATTCATTCAAGCAAGGTAAATGAAGACCAGCTCCCCATCAGTTCTGGTCAGAGTTTTCTGCCAGATGAGACATGAGAAATCTGTTGGCAGAGTTCTTTCGAATTTCAGTACTGGGGGTCAGGGAGGGCAGACAGGCAGTTAGCTACCTTGTCACCCTTCTTCTTCCTTTTTTCCTTGACCCTTAGCCTCTGTGCCCGATTGCCCAGCCTCAGGGGCCGTGAGTCCCTGTTTAGAGCAAGCACACGAAAAAGTATGGAATCCTGGGCCTGGAAAGTACCCCCATTTTCCCAGACATAGAGTTTCCTGAAAACCACTCGGAGGCAGGAGAGACAGCTAAGGAACGAGCACTGTTTGCTGCCTGATTTCCATCGAGCCTTATAGGTCCCCAGCTTGGGCAAGAGGGCTGATGCTTATTTTAATGCTGTGTTTTCGAGTGCATGCTCTGAGTTTATCTCAAGTTCACAGCTCAGGGCTCAATCTTGATAGAATGGATAAGCTCTCTAACAGACCTGTTCAAAGAACAAGCTGTCTTACAGATAGTGAGTGTTTCATCCCTGGAGGTGATCAAGTGGAAATGCAGAAGAATGGATTTGAGTACCAGATGGGGGGATTTAAGTAAGTAACCTCTTACTATCTAACAATTTATCATTCTGAGTCCCAAGGAAGAGAGTCTGGGAAAACTCCCCCTACCCTAGGCATCCCCTGCCAACTCTATCTTGCAGTGCGTGGCTTTCTACAGAAAGTACCACGTGTGCAGGAGATGGGCCATTCCCATGACGCCAGGACACCAACCCTGTCCGCTTGCTTCCTTCCCAGGGGGCTTCCAGAGAAAGTTCCTTCCCAGGTTCTTGGGGACAGGCCTGACTGCCCTCAGGGTCCCACCCTGTCCAGAGAGACAGAAACGTTTGCTCTTTACCTTGGCAAGCCGCTCTCCGAGGCCTTGAGGAACTTCCCGCTCTTTCTCGTTGTCAATTTTATTGCCCAGCAGAAGAACAGGAATATAGTCTCCCACAGCTTCCTGCAGAACAGATAATCCCCCAAATGAGAGAAGCATCCATAAGGAAACCCCAGAAGGGCAGGCTTAAAATGCTGGCAGGAAAGTTACAATCTGGCTTGAGAGTCCCCTGCTGCCCCAATAGACCAGACAAGAATATGGTCATCCCAAAAGCTGAAAGGGAACATCACCTTCTCCGATAGCCTCAGTTTACAAAGCTTCTGCAAGGTGCCTCAGGCCTGCCTCCCGGTGCCCCCCAGACTGGGCTGTACAGTGACTCCCTCCCTCCTTCCCCACTCATTGCTGCTGGGTGGGACATGCAGGCTCCCCAGGTGTGCTGTGGGTAACAGGATGAGGGGACAGCAGACACCGGTGAACTATGTGTCCCTTTCCAGGGCTGATAGCATCCCTGAAAACATTCCTAAGTGACCAGACTTAGTCAAAATGAACCAGAATGAAGCAAAGGAATTAAGACAATGTGGTTCGGAGCAGTTCTAGGGGCTGCTAATACTGGGGCCTTATACTGGGCACATAAGCTCCCTGAGGGTTGGGTCCAATTCTGATTCATGGTACTGGGTCCCCAGTACCCAGTCTACGATTGTTGTGTATGGAATCTGAGGTGACCGTGCAGGGCAGTACAGACCCCTGTTGCTGGGCGCTCCGGCTTGGACAGAAACCCGCGTGGGAAGAGCTCAGTGCCCTAGAAACTCCACTTCTGGGGCCACAAGTAACAGGTGTATTCACAGGGTCAACTTTCTTTACTCCCCCGGTGACCGTGGCACAGCAGCCAGGGGCCTGCTCCCTGGAGTCTCTGCACCCTGGGGTGTCCTCCCTCATGAAATGTGTGTACTTCACGTGCCTCTCAGGAGGGCAAACAAAGGGCCCACGGCGCACAGCTATTAAGTGAGTTAATATGGTAATATTCACATGTAAGCAGGTTGTTATTTTTACTTAGCGAGATATTTAATTAGGGGCTTTTAATAATAATTTGGTAACCAATAGTTATTCATTGTAGCTAAAATGTTTTACTGAATAGAGGGTTGGGGGATGGCAGAAGCCGACAACCACTTATAGTTTTGCCAAGAGTTTAACCACTAGATCGCACCACTTCAAATTAATGTCCCACGTCCATCCGACAGGGGCGCATGTTTTAAGTTTGAATGCAATTAGATTTGAAATTAAGCCTCCACGGCTCCTCAATGTACATGTTCATTTTTACTGCAGTTCCGTAGTGGGAAAAAAAAAATCTCATTTCCTCCATGAGAACGTTAAGGCTCAGAGAATTCGAAAGAACAATAGCAAAGTCACTGAGTTATGAGGACCCTATAGTATACAGGTCCACGATTCTCCAATGGTTTTCCCTAAATTCTGATTTCCAGGGAACTCTCTGCTATTTAGTGTCTTATTAACTAGAACTCTCTCAAAGTGGTATCTCCATTTACCCATGGTCAGATGGCAACGCGTGTGGGTAATGACGGCTCAGAGGCACTGCCTGATTTGGAATGCATCTTCCGACCCATCAGAAAGAGATCAGATTATGCGCACTGTAGTTGAGGCGCTAGGTGGATCTCACTCTGTTCCAAGTATCTGCAAATGAGAAACGACTTCCGGCATGGAGACCTGCTGTGGCTCCCTATTACCAGAGTGTTCGGGAATGGGAATAGCCCCATTTTTGGACGGTGTGGTGCCAGAGAAACTTGTGTGAGGACTTTTTCAGAGAAAAGGAAAAAAGAGAAGGAAGCAGGGAAATGGGCCAAAAGGCTTGCTGTTGTAGAGCACATGAGAGTTATTTGTAGATTTATGTGTGAGGGATGACTAAGGCTTGTGGGATTTCTTGACATGGAAACTCCGAAAATATGAGCATCGGACTTGAAATCCCCAGGCAGAATTCGAACCTGGATACAGGTTATTTTAGAACGAGTGATGGTTTCAGTCTCCTCGCTGGCCAAGGTGGTGGTGGGTGCCGAATGGCCACATGGGGTCAGATAGGGAAGAATGACAAGCCCAGCATCTGAGCCCTGAGCACCACAAACATAGGGGTGCCTCTGAGGGAAAGGGGGGGCAGTCTTCTTTTTTAAAGCAATGCCTGGATATAAAGATAAAACATCTTAGAAGGAGTGGAAAAAAGCTACCTCTCTCCCCACCCCACCCCCACCCCCCAGCTAGAGTTGTGGCTTCTGTTTTTCCCGCATTGTTCCTCTCTAATGCAAATACTGTGGACAACTGGCTTCCCCCTCCACGGGCCCGGGCCCACCACTGATGAAGAATTAGGCGTATCTCCAAAGAGATGGCAAAACTAAGTAGGCACACGCACAAGGCCAGAGAGTGCTATCCATCGGGGGTCAGTCTTCATCGCCAGGGCCCAACAACAGGCTTTGACACAAGGCCATGGGGAGGACTGGGGCTGGGATAGATGTCTCGAGGTCCTCTCTGACTTGAACCTCAAGTCTTCAACTCTCTGCCCAAACCTTACGCTTTTCACGTACCCACCTAGTTGTTCGGCCTGTGCACCGCTTGGCACAAAGAGACTCGATCTGACTCACCAGATGAAGCAACGCTTCCTGTTCAAAGTCTAAAGTCCAAAGCCCACCCCCTTTGGCAAACCTGTTGAAGGTCCATGCCACCTCTGGTGACATTTCTATAGATGCCGTAGGCATGGCAGGGCAGAGGGAAGGAATCGAAGTTGTTTAGCTGGGCACACAACCTCTGTTGGGGGGGGAGGGGGAACCACCCCTTTTCAAAGACTCCATTCAATAAGCTATGAGATGGACCTACGCAGCGGGTTCCTATCACTGACGCCCGGCACAGAAGCCTCTCCATACCTCCAACCATTTTAGTTGCCTTTCTTTGAACTTGAGCTTGTTGGAAGACAGACGTGTTGAAATTCACAAGATTACCCACCTCTGACTTTAAATAACGCGAGCTGTCAACTTGGAGCAGAGGACTGGCATTCAGCTCAGAACGTGCAGCTGTTGGGTTTGCTTGGCTGTAGTGTGTGTCTGTGTGTGCGCGCGTGTGTGCGCGCGTGTGTTAATATCCATTTGCTGGGAGGCAAGAGAAAGCACTTAGCCAGGATAGTGCTGTTAGTTCCCTGGAGCCAGAACAAAAAAATTTCTCAGCACATTAAAGCATGTAGTTATGCTAAGAAAAAAATGACTGCAAAATTATATCTTGGGGGTTTCCATATTTATCCACCCCCTGGACTATGAGTCAAAACAAGATTTATTTGTGTAGTCGTTTTAAACTGCCAGCACTTCAAGCTCAACTTGGAACATGGGGGGAAAAAATCAAACTGCTATTTTTTGCTCTGTGCTGAACATGGCCACCAATGACAGAGATTCTCATTCGAGAATTAGCTCGTGGTCCATGAAGGGAGAGGAGAGGGGGCCTGGCCCCTTTGAGCTATAATGGAGCATTGTGCTTTGAGGCGAAGTGGGAAGGATGGAAAAGAGAAATGAACACCTATATTTTAGAAGCAGATTTCAACCACAGACCATGTGACTCTCTTGTCACATAATGCATAATGCAGCATAATGAAGTGGCAGGGCCCTCGATTCTAGCTCTGGCTGGGCGTCTGGCAAGCTGGGGGTACTTTTGGAGAAGTCACTTCCTTTCTCTGGATTGCAGGACTTTTCATCTATAAAACAAGAGGCTGCATTAAATTAATCTCCATTTTTTTTTTTTCCCAGTTTGGAGATGCAGCTCCTGTTGGCTTAATGACTTCTGTCATTTTCCACTTCCTTGACTTACAGCCTAAGAATACAGGGCCACCAGAGTGACAAAAGATTGAAACAAGAAGTTCAACATACCCGGACTGCAGACATTGGGGACCCACAAACTGGGTTTGAGGAAAATACCAGCCCGTTCAGGCTTGTGCCAAATCTGATTTTCCCTGATCCAGGCCCCAAAGTCTCCAGATGTCCAGTTGGTCCTATGGTCTAAACACGGGACACTGAGAATGCCACCTGTTTCTTCTCTAGATTAAACCAGTCCTCCCCAGCAGAGATGAGAAGGAGGTAGGGGAGGGATGGGGATACCCAGGTGACTGGAATGGCTACCTGTTTTGATTTGCTATAAGGTATATAGGGAATGTAAACCGACAGAAGGCCTGGGGGCAAGGTAGGGCTGCAAAGGGGAGGAAAAACAAGGGTGGGTGGGGCAGGGGACCAGCCACGGTGGGGTGGCGGGGGCGGGGGGGTTCTCCCACCTCATAAAGCATCACTAGCCTTAGTCAGTTCTCTCTCGTGCCAAAGGATATGGGTTCTGTAGGGACTGGAAGGATCTTCTAGGGTCCTCTCATCTGTGCCCACTCCTCCTCCATCCTGACCCCCTCCCCCAGAGGATTGAAGGCCATATGCTGTAAGAATGTGGGGGTCAGGAGGAACCTTTCAGAGCCTCCGGTCCACTCTGTCATGGGTGACTGGCCAGTTTCGTGGGAGCTGGGATGGTAAGAACTTCTTTTTCAGGGACCAAAGCGCCCCCCACCCCCACCTCAAGCATCTGTTCCCACCCCGCACAACCTCTTCCAAGAGTGAGTCTTTGGCACGTATAATCTGTGACAATTTAAGCCCTTTCTTCTTATACTGCTTTTCAGGTTGCGGGAGGAAGGGGCGCTGCGAACAGCTGGCCAGCATTCACTTAATAATAAGGCTTCAGGTTCTGAAGCCTGTTATTAAAGCTCCCCCTCCACCCCCCCTTCTCCGGGCGAGGGAGTTCGCAAAGTGCTTGGAGTTCTATGGAAAAATAAGGTGCTCCGCAAATACAAAGTACTTATTATTTTCAGTTCCCTCTGATCAAATTAGGTGTCAGGTTTTAATCTGTCACCTGACACCCCTGATTGCTGGTTGCCAAGGTAGAATGACTTCAGCTTTTCAAGAATCTTGAGAATAATTGCATTCACGATCCCACTGTTCTGCACCTTCGACACACACTCCACCATCTGACACTTGTTCACGTGTTCACACAACCGCCCCCCACCCCCCGCCACACTTGTCTCCAATCCTTGGGCCACTGGGCTGGGTCCCCGCACCAGGTCCCCCCAGCACCTCCCCCGTGCCAGACCAGGTGGGGGACGCGCGGCGGAGTCTTGGGGGAAGGCACACAGACATCTCTGCAAGTGACTGAGAGCCTCACTTCTCCAAGGGTGGTACCCGGCCTGGCCGCACAGGCCTCCCTGAGAACTTGTTAGAACCTCGGGGCCTACCTAAGGTTTTGACCCTGCGGAGTCAGATTCTGTATTTTAACGAGGCGCCCAGGAGATTCCTGTGCATATTAAACTTCGAGAAGCACTTTTCAGGCTTGGATCATGGCAGCTGAGAAGCCAAATCACCCAGGGGACTGATGCTTTTTTCTTTTCTTTTCCTTTTTTTTTTTTTCCCCCCTCCCCCTTCATTGTATTTCCAGGCCCTGAATCATTCTATTTAGGAGAGAAGGCCTGGCCTCTGTTTTGTCTGAAAGCACCTCAGGTGATCCTGACCATCCGGGTTTGGCATCCCCATTTAGAGTTTACCCGAACCTTCTGCTGATACTCCCGAGAAGGAACATTCAAAGTCCAAATGATACAGAAAAGTCCCACCCTAACCTGGAGAATTCTTGGTTAAGTGCCTTTCCGTGTGGCTTCCCCAGGGGGCCATCAAGACACTAGGGTTTCCCTGAGGTCTCTTGCTGGGTACGTGTTGACAGTGCTTTTCAGCCCTGCCCCACTTGGGAACACGCCAGACATCCGGGGCTTGGCCCGGTTTTGGGGAGAATGACCAAGCTCGTGCTTCCAGCTGCAACGGTGGCCCTCTGTGATTTCTCGGCCTCACTGCTGCCAAATTCCACCTGATAATCCACCTCTCCAGCTAGATCCTGGGCTCTGGGTGCACAACCAGGGCCTCAGAAGCGGCAGCCCCTACTGAGGGCAAAGAGCACGGTTCTGTAAGTTTGCCTCCTCTCTCCATCCCTATTCATCCCAGGCTACTTAAACTGCCTCTACCTGCTCCAGTCTGTCTCACTATGTTGCTATCTGGGGACAATGAAATGTACATAGCTGGCTGGGGCGCCTGGGTGGCTCAGTGGGTTAAAGCCTCTGCCTTCGGCTCAGGTCATGATCCCAGGGTCCTGGGATGGAACCCCGCATTGGGCTCTCTGCTCAGCAGGGAGCCTGCTTCCTCCTCTCTCTCTGCCTGCCTCTCTGCCTACTTGAGATCTCTGTCTGTCAAATAAATTAAAAAAAAAAAATCTTAAAAAAAAAAAAGAAATGTACATAGCTGGGAAGAGAATGGATGGTACAGAGGTCACGGCCTCAACGTCTTCCTTTGAGAATGAGATGGCTGTTTTAGATCAGTAATTTTTCACAGGGAAACCCTCTTGTCTAACAAAATTGGGCCTGGACTTCCAGTTGAGAAAACTGAATGAAGCAGAAAGGGCTCTCTCAGTGATTTGGGGGATGAGCCCTCCCCAGTTCCTGGGGGGGAGTCTCTATGCTCCTAGGGTTCCCAAGAAGAAAGTTTGAGAACCAGCAGATAGCTAATCCCCAGTGTCACTCCTGGGGGCTTAATTTCTGTGAGGAAGATAAATGGGCCGCACTATCAGAAAAAAAAAAAAAAATCATGTCCTATTGCTTCCAGATTACCCATCCCATTTGCCTCCTTTGTTAGCTTGGCCTGTAGCCATTCGCTACATGTCAAAACTTCCATTTTCTCTACTGTAAGTTCCTCAAGCACCATCATTTTGAGAAATAATTTGTATGAAACAAATTTCAGAGAAACCTTTGAATTTGGTTTCCACTCTTGTTCCTTCTTTTTCCTGGAAATGAGAAGGATGTGGATTCACAGAAGAAAGGAGTGGCCCAGCCAATCCAAACTCCAAGAGAAACAGATTTTGGTGGGAGGAATCACAGATCTTAGGGCCAAAAGGATGAAGAAATGAACAACTCCAGGATTCTGCCCGCCCAAGGATACCATATCCATTCATGCCTCCCACATCTGTTGAGCACTAGTTCTGCGGGGCCCCATGCCAGACGCCTGTTACACAGTGTGATAGAGGCACAGGGTCAGTTCTCAGGAGACCCAGAGGCAGGGAGCTGGGCTGGCAACTGTGTCCTTCACAGCGGTGTTACAGTGTGGTAAGCAGGTAAGTACTATGCCAGGTCTTCCAGGCTTGAACAGAGGGATGAAGGTAAACTCCACAAGGACCGGAACCTTGTCTCTTACCTGCTGCTATCATTCCCAGAGCCTAGAACAGTGCCTGGCCGTGCTTTAGACAAATGCATGAGCAGCACATGGATAATGCAGGTGGAAGGAGGTGGGGTATCCTAGCTGATCGTTTTGTTAAAGACTCCTCGGAGGCCCTCTCAAATAAGTATGTGCCTTGTCCACCCTGACCTTGGCCTTGAGAAGGCTGCATCTGAGTGGTCGAGGAAGAATATGCAGATGGCCAGAAAGTACAAAACACTTGCAAAGCAACTTCCTGCGAGTATAAATCAAGGGAGTTGAGTTTTACAGCTAATCCAGAATTCAAAGAAGAGGGCTATTGCCTGTGGGCCCCACCCAGGGTGGCCTTGCGGTGAGGGGGGCGGGCGGGCACTCACATTGTAGATCAGCCTCCCCTCTTGCTGAGGGTTGTGACAGAGGCCCCAAGACACTGTGTGGAGCCCCTCCTGGGCTGGGCATAGCTGGGAGCCACGGGAGCCAGAGCAACACAGAGGGCCGAGAGAGGGAAGAACACGGGTGGGACTCCGCTTAAACACTGGTTTCTTGCCATTCTGAGCCCCTCCCCCAATCCTAGCCCCTTCTCCCGAGGCACTGATGGCGACTGTAATGACACAGTCAGGGGTGTGAACTGTTTCTCAAGTCCCCACCTCCGTGAAGGCAGGGACTGAGTCTCGTTCACCCCAGTACTGAGGGCTGGGCTTGGGTGAACGGCCATATGGACGCGGGAACCCATGTGTTGCTGGAGAAGGCGGGTTTGGACTCAGGTTTTGGAAGTGCAGAGGGCTGGGCAGGAGATGGGCGGGGACAAGGGGGAGGCAGGAGTCAGCATCAATGCTTTAGAAGGTCATCAGCTCACCTCCACGCTGCTCAGCCACTGCCGGACCGACAGGAACGACTGTCTGGCTGTGACATCGTACATGACGACGACGCCATCGGCCTTCCTGAAGAACTGCTGGGTGATGCAGCGGTACCTGTCACCGAGGGCCACATGTCAGGGGCTGCAAGGCATCCCGGCGGCCCCCTCGGTGGGTGGTGGAGGAGGCAGGGTTGGGTCAGGGGTGCTCCTCACCTCTCCTGTCCCGCCGTGTCCCATAGCTGCAGTGCCACGTATGAGCCATCAACGTGCATCATTTTCACCTGATAGTCGATGCCTGCAAGGCAGAGGGAGCCTATCACTTCTAGATCAGAGAACTATGCCCAGACTCCCCGCATGTCCAGAAGCCCGTGAGGCCAGGGGTGACAAACCTCCCTGAGCAGGTGCCCCCCGCCCCCAGGGAGGGGATGTGGGGACCTGGACGCAGAGGTGCGGAAGCTGAGCTCTGGTCCTGTCTCTGCCACTGAGCAGCTGTGGGGTGTGGATCAAATCGCTTAACCTCTCTGAACTGCAGTTTCCTTGCTGCAATGTAATTCACACCCTCTTTAGGGATTCTATAATAAGGCTCAAATGAGATCCCATATGTAGAAACGATACACCAAGGTGAAGATATTTGTTATTTTTCATGAATTTACTCCCTCATTGCAAAGATAGAGGAGGAGGAGACTGTCCTCCTATTTCTTTCTCCCGCTACTCCCTAAAATCCTTTTCAAAGTTCCCATAACAAAGTTCAATTATTCCTGGGGAATGGATCATACTTTCAGACTTCCATCAGCCAAAGCAAAGGATAGCAGAGGGTGAGCAGCGGCAGGTAGAGGGAGGGTCAGAAGAGAAGTGGCAAGGGAGGGAGTCAAAAGCAGCAGTCACCCCTGAGATGGGTTTTGAGCTTCTAATACGAGCCACTGGGCCAGTCAAAACCATCTCTCTGTGGCCTCGACCCTGCCCAGAGTCCTGCACCAGAGAGACAAGGTTTATACCCTACAGTGGCCCTCAGAGAAAAGAACCTTAATGCAGTTTCTCTAAGAACATATTCCTCTTTCCTACATCGTGTAAGAATGTTCACAAATATTTAGCACTTTTCAAAAAGTCTTGCTCCCTCATGGTATCGGATCTGGGTTCTAGAGGGCATCCCCTGCCACCTTCAAAAAGACCCAGGGGGAAGGAGTTGGGCCATCCTAACAGATTGCTGTGGAAGGGTCAGTAAGGGACAGCAATAGAAGCTTGGACACAGAGACAAAAGAGATGATAGAGAGGCAGTAAATAGGAAAGGGCATCCCAGCAACTGTCTCCAGGCAAAGCCGAGGGCACTAGGGGCCCAGGAGTGGCAAGAAGTGGGAGGGAGATTCGTCCACTTCTAGAATGTCAGACCTAAGTCCCTAAGCAGGGACTCTGGACGCCCTCTGCTTCACAGGCTATAGTGAGTTACAAGCCCAGCTCTGAGGCTCATTCTTTTTGCAATGGTGCCCTGTACCCAGGGACACCTGGCAGCCTCATTTCACCTAGAAAGGCCAAGGCTTAGTGCTCCCAACAAAACAGATTATGACTAGCTGTGCTGAATCTAGGAGGCTTCCCCAGTCTGTGCTCTGGGGGACTAAAGGAGCTGCCTCCTTTCCTTTCCTTCCCTTTCCCTTTCCTTTCCTTTTCTCTTTTTTAAAGATTTTATTTATTTGACAGAGAGAGACACAGCAAGAGAGGGAACACAAACAGGGGGAGTGGCTTCCTGCCAAGCAGAGAGCCCGATGTGGGGCTCAAACCCAGAACCCTGGGATCGTGACCTGAGCTGAAGGCAAACACTTAACGACTGAATCACCCAGGCGCCCCTTTCTGATAACAACTCAGGAGAAAGTCAACCATGGTTGACACACCTTCAGGGTCTGATCTGAAAGCAGGCTGATGGTCCAAAGCCCCAGGACAGAGCCCTCTCCTGAAGAGAAAGGCAGGCAGGTGGAGGGGCAGGTGGTGCCCCCTGGGTCTTGGCTGTGGTCATGATCTTGCTCTATCTCACTGGCCAAATACTTTGCTGGAGGACAGGGAGCTTGTCTTACAGGGAGCAAAGTGGTTTCTGTGTCCTGGTGAGCTTGCTGGGACTCCCAGCTGGGTACACGATGTACTTGTCTCCGCAACCTCAGACAGAGAGGCCTGGGAAACCGAGAAGCCCAAGGGGGAGCCCGGGGGCGGTGGCAGGAGACACAAGGAGTCGGAGACCAACAGAACAGGCAACACACAATGACGTAGGACCAGAGAGCCTAGAATAAACTGCTTTCTAAGACCACAGGCAGTTCTAACATTTCAAGAGCTGGGCAACCCACACTGTGTGTCCCAGTCTCAGTTTTGCCTTGACTCGCTATGCGACCTCGATGACATTATGTCATTTTGGGGTGTCTTCACTCCTCATCTGCAAATGAGGGATGATGGAGGATGTAGAGGGCTAGGTCAGAGGTTCATAATCTTGAAGTTCAGCTGTAGCATTCAAGAAACACATGGCAGTGACGCCCAACTTGCAACCTGTCTGGTTCCTGAATGACAGTTGGACGTCGGGGTCCCCCTGTCAGTGAGAATTGTGTCGTGTCTTGTCGGGGGATAGTGTGGGTTATAGCTGGGCTGATGGACTCCAAGACTGACATTAACCCTTCTGGACAAGACAGGCTCGAGATATCATTTAGAGTAGGGGGATTTGGGGAGGGGGGCTGAAAGTTGTCGTAGAGAAAAACTCCAGGATTTCTCTGCAGAGATGTGGAGTGGGATAGAAAACAGACTGGTGGCCAAAAGGAGCAGAGTGCACTCTGTTAGAAAAACACTTCTGGAAGAAACCTCTTGGGCGGTGGCCTGTGACTGACGGCAGGGGGCTGTGAACCAATGTGGGGCAGTGGAAGGAGCACAGGACTCGGAGTCCCAGTTTCCAGGGAGGGTTAGCTTCTATTAATCAGTCCTGTCACGTACAAAATGAGCTCCAGCGTTCTACAGAAACCATCATTTGACATCTCCAGGACGCCCACGGGGCTCAAGCACTTGCCTTTGAAGGAATCCGCTGGTCCTAAGGTGGGGTGGGCAGGGACCTCAAGTCACACTGCCACATTAGAGCATTTACATTGTGTTCAAGCCAAGAGTCCAGGAAGGATCATGTCCATATGAGGGAGCGGTAGACCTGAAGTCCCCTTTGATGGGGCTGGAAAGATTTAGGGAACTGCTGAGTCTCTCTTAGGACTCTGTTTATGCTGGTGGGGTTGCTCCTGACAGGGAGTGGATGGCCGGAGCCCCAGGCTAGGGTGAGAGAGCTCTGTCCCCCTAGAGCAGAATTCTGTGGCTCCTCTGTCTCTTTAAAGGGAGCATCTTTCTGGTGGCTGGTGTGACATCTGTTACTGACATGTGTACCAGAACAAGGCACGTTGTGTGGCAGGGAGACTAATTTCAGCTGCTGTTCCAGCATGTTCTGCGCAGTGTGATGAAGGGCATTCCTGATTTGGAATCTTTGATATTTTTCCCTTCCTAAATTGTAGGTGTTTCCATAATTGGTCTCCTGGGAAGTGCAAATTAGTCTGATTTTTCATTTTTCAGAGGCTTCCAGCTCAGGGGTACAGTTTGGAAATTTAAACGGCCCCTGATTCCTTGATTTCATCTACGGGGGAGGTGCGCCGTGCGCGCTGCTCAGAGGGACGCTTCTGAGGGACGAGGGGCTGGCACCCACCCCGTCTCCCACGAACCTGTGCTGGAGCCCTGACTTGTGGGGGCCTCCCCCATGGAATGCCCCCAGGAAGGTGAGTCCTCCTCCTACAGCCATTGGTTCCTGCAGGACACTGGGCTCACCCAAGGCCTGCAAGCCCAGACTTCTCCAGGCTTGGGTCATAGCCTCCCCTTCTTCCTGTTAGGGGCCTGATTCTTCATCTAGGGTGGGGGGCTCAGTCTTTGGGTGGAATGAGACAGGAGGGAGGGGACAGGAGAATATTCCAGATGTGATACCAATGGAGGAAAAGACCCAACAGTAAGGATGGGATGCCTGAAGCATGTGGGAAGAGACCCTCCTCCAGGCGCAAATTTGGAAGGAAGGGAAAGAACATGGAGCCTTCCCCAGGCAGAGTTCTGGAGCAGGGGAAGCCTGTCTTATAGAGCCAACCTGTCAGACAGCCGAAGGTCCAAGATGGTCTGAACAGAGAACCAGGCTTGGAAGCTGTCTTTGGTGACCTAGTTCGAATCTTCCAGGAGGAAAAACTCGAAGCACCCAGGGGTAACATGTCCTCCTAAGGTCACACAGCTGATCAGTGGCAGAGCCAAGATGAAAATCCCAGGCTCCTTAAGTCCCACTGAACCTCAGCAGCCTCCCCTGCCTATACCAACCCGTGCCCACCTCTCAGGATGGGCAAGTGTCCTTATCCCTCCCCAGGTGCTGAGCACACACCACTCCGTATGCTCAGGAGATACTGCGGAGTGGTACAGAAGGGGCCAGTGAGGGACCAATATAAGCACTGAATGAGCTGAGGGTATGTAGACAAGCTCTCAATCTCTCTGGGCCTCAGTTTCCCCATCTGTCTATTGGGCTGATAACAGTACCTTCTTTGTTGTGCGAAGAACAAAGCGTTCTGCGAAGGGTTGTGCGAAGACAGACTGAAGTGATGAATACAAAAGCCCCATGGTAAATATGCTTATCACATCAGTATGTTTTCAAATTCTGAAACAGCTGTCTTATCACTGTGGTTAAATGGTACATAGTAATCTCTCAGTGGATTTATTTTTGGCTTGAGTGATTCAAGCAAAAGGTAGAAGCTAAAAGGTCAGTACGCCCTTGGGTCTTGCCACATTTTCTAATGCAATGAGCAACTTTGGGTGAAGAGAGCAAAGGCCTCCATCTGAATAAAATATTAGTCGAGTGTGGGAACACATTAAGCCAAGATCATCCATTAATAGCTGAGCCTAATGAGCTTCCACGATGAAATCCAGCTGTCACCCAGCAGGCCTGGGCCGCAGATGGGTAACATGTGCTGGTAAAAGGAGTCACCCAGGGCACTGTCCTCCACCATACCCCTCTACACACACACACACATGCATGCACACACACGCACACATATGTGCACACTTAGGGAAGGGCAGGGCAGGAAGCTGCTGGCCCATTGGGGAGGCAGGGGTTGTGATGTTGAAGTGCACAGTTCAGGAAAAGCATAAAGCCATGCTGAAAATGGAGAAAAAAAATGATAAAAAAGATGGGCTTAGAGATGCCTGGTGGGCTCAGTCGTCAAGCGTCTGCCTTCAGCTCAGGTCATGATCCGGGGTCCTGGGATCGAGCCCCGCATCATCGGGCTCCCTGCTTGGCAGGAAGCCTGCTTCTCCCTCTCCCAGTCCCCCTTGCTTGTGTTCCCTCTGTGTCTCTCTCTGTCAAATAAATAAATAAAATCTTTAAAAAAAAGAGATGAGCTCAGAGGGGAACGTGGGCCCAAAGTCCACCTTTGCTGGCTGCAGCTCCCCTCAGGCTGGACAAAGGAAGTGTTCAGGGGCTTCACTCCATGTGGAATGAGCTTAGGCAGCTGGCACTGTGCAGGAGGAGGATTGACCTTGCTCCTTCGGCCTCACTGGGGAATAAGGCGGGCGAGGGCCCTCTACCAGCAAGGCCCCACGGCCACTCCCACCGGACCCCCAGTCCCTTCCTGGGCTCTCTTCTAACTCCCTCCCCTTCCCGGGGCGAGAACTCACCCACGGTGGCTGCCAAGCCGGGGGCAAACCGGTCCTCACAGAACCTCCTCAGGAAGGACGTCTTCCCCACAGCGGAGTTGCCCACAAGCACAATTTTGAAGAGCCGGTCTGGGATGGAGGGGGAGGCTTCCTCCTGTGGATGGCAGACAGTCCGGCCCACTGCTGGCATGGCCACCAGCCCCACCTCCTGCTACGACCTGTGCTTCGATCAGTCCCTACCGGTCCGGGGGAAGGCGGGGACCTGGCCTGTGGACCAGCACGAGGGAGGGCACTCCAGTCTCGGGTACAAGGAGCTTTGGGCTCTGGGCATATGGGCTCCTTCTAGTATCAGCAGGAGGGAAGAGAGAAACTCAGTCAAACATTTGTGGTCTGCCTACAGTCCTGCGGACCCTGGGCAGAGGACACAGGGACGGGGAGCCAGGCCTGGGTGGCCGTGGATGGATGGAGGCAGCCATAGAAACAAGTAATTCAACACAAGCTTCCAACTGCTCCAGGAGCGTGGAGGGGGAGGGGGAGTCCAGGGTCCACGGTGGAAGGGGGGGGGGGGGGACACACTGCGAGCGGGGGCTTAAAGAGAAGGCAGAGATTCTCTGTGCAGGGGAAGGACAGGTGGGATGTTTGCAGGGGGAAGGGGAGAAAGAAGAAGACATAGGTATATCACGGGGGCAGAGACGGCCCAGGCTGGGGGGCCTTTATCTCTGCCCTATCACTGAAATCCTGGGCTGAATGGAGCATGGTCTTGCTTGCCTCCCGGCATGGCGCTCCTCCTTCCACCTCATCAGCTTCCAGTTAGGGCCCCATCTGCCTGGGAAACAGGTTGTCCACTCGGTAGGCTGGGAAATCCACCAGGCCGGACCAGACCCCTGGGCGGAGCTTTCCAGACTCAACGGTCACTGCGCTCTTTCTCCTTGCCCCAGTGGCCCGCAGGGGCTGGGAGCATGTCGGCCGGTGAGTTAGTTGGGACCCTAAAGCCCGGTGGGGAATGGACTTGTTCTAGGACAGCCGGAGCCACAGAGCAACCAGAGTCCTCTTGCCCACAGGATCGCTCCTTCCCACTGACTGCTTGTTTGCTCGCCCAAATCCTGCCTCCAGGCCCAGCCCAGCCCTGCCTGGCCAAATGAGGAAGCTCTTCTGGATCTATTTAGAAGCAGATTTGAGGGAATTAGCTCCTCTCGTTCAGCAAATACTATAATGGAGTGGAGGCAGATATTTGCAGTACTTGAGCCGTGGAGAAAAGCCATTAACAGCCTTTTGGGGAGAAATCAATTCCACACAGTACTTAAGAGGGAATTCAAGGTCAATTACAGGGGTTTAATCTAAACTTAAAAAAAAAAACAAAAAACGGGCGTCTGGGTGGCTCCGTGGGTTAAGCCTTTGCCTTTGGCTCAGGTCATGATCTTGAGGTCCTGGGATCGAGCCCCACATGGGGCTCTCTGCTCATCCCCCACCCCCCAATGCCTGCCTCTCTGCCTACTTGTGATCTCTGTCTGTCAAATAAATAAATAAAATCTTAAAAAAAAAAAAAAAAACAACAACCAACAAAACCCACACTCATAAACTATACCCTCTGCCCCATTTTTTACATTCTTTTAATGCATAAGGGCATCAACTCTGCGGGTCCCTGCTCAGCCTCAGCCTCCTGTTGTCATTTGTGTGACTAAATCTCAGGGCAGCAATCTGTGTATCCCTAGGCCTGTCACCAGGCGGAGAATGTGAAGCCCAGAGCAGGAGGAGATGGTTCTGGCTGCAGAGGCTGTGTCAGCCCCATTCTAGAAGGAGCAGGGGCTTTTGTAGGCCAGAGGAGATCAACACCCTGATGGTCCAGCTCTGGACAGGCCCCACCTCCCAGGCGCCGTGAACTCCAACTCATGTCCACTCATATGCCCTGTGTCCCCTCTGGGGGACAATCCTCAGCATGATAACCAGATTGGGGGGAGGGTGCTAGAGTAAGATCTGTTCTCATTCTCTGTCCTGCCACTTTTAAAAAAAGTAATAATAAGCTTTAAAAAATAAAAGTAACACATGTCAATTTTTTAAAATTAGGAGAAACAGAAAAGTAGAGAAGAAACTAATAGTTATTCATAGTCTGTCTTGCCACCCAGAAGTGGGCACTATTCATATTTTGATGCATTTCTTCTAGGCTTTTTTCTATGTGGATGAATGAATATATGTTTTATTTAAAACGGTTTGAAATATTATACACAATTCTACTCTTTCTCATATATTATTAAATTTTAAATATGTCTCCAAGTCAGAAAAGTTTCTTGAAAATGTGATTTTATATTTTTTATATTTTATTTATTTATTAGAGAGAGAGAGTGTGTCTGTGCACACACGAGTGGAGGGGCAAAGGACAAGCAGGTCGCCCGCTGAGCACAGAACTGGACACGGGGCTCCATCCCAGGACCCTAGAATCATGACATGAGCTGAAGGCAGATGCTTAACCGACTGAGCCACCCAGGTGCCCCTTGAAAATGTGATTTTTAACAGTGCTATAATATTCTATTGAATTTTTTCAAGTATTTGCTAATATACAGGGCCATTTTTGAGTTAAATTTTTGTCTGAACTTGGTTATTAGGAAAGATTGCTAGGAGTAGAAGTGCTGGTTTAAAGGATGTGGAATTTCTAAGTTCTCAATTCTTGTTATCAGTCTACTGTCCAGAAAGGCTGTACCAATTGATGCCTCCACAGCCTTGCATGGGAGCGCCGGCCTCACAGAGCTCTTGCAAAGGGCAGACCCTCTGGGGAAGCTGCCTCGTGATTCTCTGAGAGCACACTTCCCGTCTGCGGCAGCTCCTGTCCTGGGCTAGTTGGTAGCACACGTGATGGAATCAGCACCCATGTGAGAGCATGGGGTGAAGAGGCTGTGCTCCTGTCCCTGGGGGACCGGACCAGACCTCGCTCCTCTGGGCTTCTACTTTCCCACCTGCCACAGAGGAAAAGACACTGCTGACACGCCCCATCCGCTCATGTGGTCCAGCACCCCCGGAGGCTTCGTTCTCCCCTTCACCCTATCTCCTACTGACCTCTTGACACTTTTTTACATTTGGGAGCAGAGCTTGGGTATTTAAAAGCCCAGTGGGTCCCCTGCCCACACATGTAGGTCTTTGCGGAAGGGAACGTGGGAGGGCGTGGAGGAGGGAGGGGTTGCTACCCACCACTGGTGCCATCCAGCTCTTACTCGTCCCCTGGCCCAGGGTCCTTTGTAGAAGGGATATGTAGCCATCTTAATCCAGGCCCAGGAATGACAACTGGTGCCAAGAAGTCCCCACGGTGGTTGGAAAGGTGTCCCAGTACACATGCCCCAGTACGACAAGTTCTTGTCACATGAGCCATTTGGAAATGCCCAGATACCCATTTGGGCCACCCGTGTACAGGGAGGAGGCTCTTTCACACTGTCATGGGTGTTTCTGTAGACTTTCAGAGTGCCCAGTGGGAGGTGAGGGACTGGAGGGGTCTATACCTGGGCCTGGGTCACAAACAAGGTGGGGAACATCATCACCATGAACCAGAGGAAGATGGTTACTATGGCCTCCTTCTCCCGCAGCACTGAGCAGGAAGCCCTGGTGGGGAGTGCAGGCGGGATGAGGGACAGGAGGAGCGCCCTCTAGGGAGGAATAAGCAGGGCATTTGGGAATGAAAGGATGGTTAGCCAGTTGGGATGATGACATAAGCTTTACAGAGCAATGATTGGCCTTGCTGAGAACAGTTACAAAATATAAGAAGATTTATAATTTTTAAAGTATGTGATATGTTATGCTAAGAGCCAAGCAAGATGTCTGTCTAAACAAGTCACTCAATAAATGCTTCTGATCTGAATCAGAAAAACAGAACACAAGGGCAAGCAACAGAAATTATAAGGAGAATTTACAAGGACCCCTGAGCCTCCCCAGTGACACTCAGTTCCACAGGGCAAGCTGGTATCTGATGGAGGCAAATAGGGTGATTCATAAGACCAGCCACATCTGACTTCCTGAGCTACCTTTGAGGCTCTTGGGTTCAAATGCAAGAGACAGGCATAAAAGTGACATCAAGAAACCAACATAGGATGTGTCCTTACCTTAGACAAGGCTTCTTTTCCAACAGGCTGCCTTCGGGGAGATGTAGGTATGGGTTCCAAGGGTCTGGCCTGCTGGCTTTGTCCTTCCACTCTCTGCTGGGAGACCGCCTCCTCTTTTGAGCATTTGCTCAATGGCTGCTCTAAGCTGCCATCCAGGAGCTGGGGCAGGGGGTCTTCTTCAATGGAGATGATTCTGCGGAGTGCCCGGGGGAGCGGACCCCCAGCCCCTGGCTCCTCTTCTGGAAGGGGATATCCACTCAGGCCAAGGGAGCTTCTCCTCCTTGGGAGGCCAAACACATCTTCTTCCTCCTCTGACTGGCTATTACGGGGTAAGGAAGAAAGAGAAATGGGGAGAATATCATAAAATATGTCAATATGGAAACTAGAGACATGTGTAATAGCTCTGTGATAAACAACTAACAGAAAAGCATCACACCTTGGGGGTGGAAAGCTCCAGGAAAGGAAATAAAAACAGACCCTGCATTCTCTAGCTCATTCACCCAACACACTTCTGAAAGTGTTTAATGAATACGAAGGTGATAAGGTGGTGGTGATGATAAGGAAGGTGGTGGTGATGATGATGAGGAAGGTGGTGGTGACAATGGTGATGAAGGTAGTGATGATGATGATGGAGGTGGTGGTGATGATGATGGAGGTGGTGGTGATGAGGAAGGTGGCAGTGATGATGATGATAGAGAGGGTGATGATGAGGAAGGTGGTGGCGATGATGGTGATGAAGGTGGTAATGATGAGGAAGATGTTAATGATGAAGGTGGTGATGATGAGGAAGGTGGTGTTGATGATTACGACCAGGTATTTAGCTAATGACACAGTTGAGCACAGATGGACACAGCCCTGTCCTCACAGAATGCTCAGCTCAGTGGGGGGCTGAAGCAGTAATGGCACAACTAAATACGCTGCAACAAGCTGTGATAAGTGCCACAAAGGAACAGTAAAGGATGTGACAAAAGGAGTATAAAAGATCTGGAAATAAAGCATCTTCAATTAACAATCAGGTGGCCTTGGCTGTGATCCCAATACCAGCCCTTACTGACTGTGCCACTAGGGAAAACACTTCAACTCTTCGAAGCTTCAATTCCCTCACTGTAAAATGTGGCTCCTGCGGCCTGCCTACGTCACTCATAAGACAATGCACAAAAGCGGATGTGTTCACAGAACAGCCCTCAGTTAAGTGAGTGAGGGGGACTGCTGGTCTGGGAAGAGCTCAGAAGCAGCTGCCCGTTTGTGAATGGGTGAGGAAGCCAGGCTAGGTACCTCTACCTGCCTTTCCTACCTTCCTCTTTCAATGTCCCTGCCACAGGGTCAGTGTCAGGAGTAAGTGGCCTCAGAGGCCTATGTGCATATTTGCTTCCAGAAGCATCTGACCATTAAGAACGAGGAAAAGCAGAAGGAGGTGGAGGGAACTGGGCAACCAGATTTGAGTCAATGCTCAGGCTGTATTTTCAGAAGGTTTTCAGGGCAAAAGCCTTGTAGACCCTTCCTGGCACAGGAGTTCAGGTCTCTGGAGACAATTAAAGCTGAGAAAGGTTTTAAACGGAACTCAAGTTCCCAACGGAAACACGCAGGCACACACACATGCAAGGATTAGAAAGGAGAACAGAAAGCAAATCAGGTGAGGAGGTGACAGGGCCAAAGGAGACAGAAGGGAGGCGAAGGTCGCAGAATATGCAGAACAGGGAGGCTCCCCTCATTTTGGCCCCTGGCTTATACTATTTACTCTTCCTAAGGACCAGTAATAGGAAGGGAAAAGAAAAACACTGCATGTATCATTGTTCTGAAGTTAAGTGCAACTCTGAAAGATAAATTAAGATAGAGTGCTCACAAAAATGGTGACTTAATTTGGGTCCCTTGATACAAAATAAAGAATTCTGTAGCAATTCAGGGACCTTCCCACTTATTTATAAAAATCATAGTTTTTAATAGAAGCTGACTGTCTTCTTCCCAACACATTTCTTCTACAGTCTAACAAGCCTACGGACTGCTTATCCCCTGCAGACACAATTAGTATTCCAACCACTTCCACTCTGCTTACACACACGAGTGCGCGTGTGCATGCCCAAGCAGAAAAGCGTGCACATACACACACAGCATGTTTCTCGAAAGACCTTGCAACCAGAAAAAAGAAACGACCACTGAAACAGCCCTAAAATGAAGCATTTCTTGGAAAAAGCTTTGGATTTGGGAAATTCTCAAACACAACTGACATCCCCTATGACCCTTAGATCAGCACAACAACATTTATCTTTGGTTTTGCCACCAAGCGCTACATATGAGCAGCAAGAGCAGTGGCCTCTGCCAAAGTCTGTTCTGGAATTCAGGGTGCACGATTTGTAACCTACCTGCTTCTTGTCTGTTTCCTTTCCTCCACCCGAAGCTCTACAAAACCTAGGGTCTCTTTTGCTCACCATTGTATACCTAGCATGTAGCATAATATCTTGCACATAATAAGCACTCAATAATGGATGTTGATGGCAGAACTCATGTTTAATTTACTTTTGGAGACTTCACAGAATTCAAAAGAATGTCTGGTACAGATTAAGCAATCAGTGAATGTTTGTTGAATGAATATATTCTGTGCTGAGCAACCAACAGGCCAACCATTACTGCAGAAAACTGCATCCCAAATTGTATCCTTCTGTTGAGGATACAATTTTCTTTAAGATAGATTTTATTTTTAAGATTTTATTTATTTATTTATTTGAGAGCGAGAGAAAGCAGTGGGAAGAACAGAGTGAGAGGGATAAGCGGAGTGTGGAACCCGACACAGGGCTCGATCTCAGGACCCCAAGATCATGACCTAAACTGAAATCAAGAGTTGGATGTTCAACCAACTGAGCCACCCAGGCCCCCCTCTGTTGAGCTATTTAGAGGAAGAATTCAGGATGATTGTGTCCAAAGACTTGACCAATGAGCTCACTGACATCTCCAGGGTCACTTTCCTTCCTTCCTTGTATTGTGTATTTCATGCCTACTGTCCTCAGGGTCTCCTGGATGAGCAAATTCATTCACTTTCTCCCTGGCTTTGATACTTAGGGGTCTGGTTGCCTTTACCTTTCTGTGGCCGTCTATGTGGACGGAACACATGCCAAAAAAGAAGGGACAGTAGAGGACTGGCTTGTCTCTTTTAGGGGCAATGGGCCAGCCCTCTGGGGATTCAAACTCGATTACTGTGCTGTCTAATCACAACAAAAATTGTCATCTTTGAGATAATTAAATGTGAAGCCTTGAGGGGAATCCGCCAAGCACAGGTCCCACTCCTGTTTGGAAAGGAGTTCAGTTTGCAGGGGTGAGGGGCTTTCCCACACTTCAGTTATGCTTCAGAGCCCAGTCATGTCCCCACCTCGGGCCACTTCCTGAGAGCCGCTGGGCTCAGAGCCAGCTCCCAGTGAGAGCAAGACCGAGGAACACATGATGAATGAAGAAATCGGGGGTGACTTACCTCCTAAGAATCCCTCTGCCATCCATGTATTTGCCTATCACAGAGCCAGATCTCTGTTTCCAGTTCGCCTTGGAAGCAGCTGTGTTTGCCTTGGCTGCCTTATCTTTCTGTAGAAACACAAAATGCCCTCAGACCCGTGCCTGCTGATCTCTCCCAATGTTTGAGCAGAGAGGGCTCCACTTTCCCACCTCAAAGTTCAGGCTCAAAACCAAATTCTGAAGTATGAAGCAATGTTTTGGTCTCCCTATTAGCATTGTCTTACTCTTTCCTTTTGCTATTGTTTCTCATCAGGATCCCAACATCTCCCACCCAATAATCCAATAGAACAAATCAATGCGCAGTTTAGAGCCTGGGGTCCACCTTGTGGCCCTTCATAGCAGCACTGACAATTTGCAATATGACAGGAAGAGATTACGTGGAATGCATTGGAAAGTATTTAGGGGCAGAAAAGACAGTGCATCTTTAAATCCCACTCATTCGTGTGGCTCCCACTTCTCTTTATTTCCAAAGCCCCAGAAATGAGAAAGGGACCAGCTTAGAGGATCGATTAGCCCGGTGCCCTGTGGTGGGTGGGGGCTTACAACCCAGCTCACAGCACTCCCCGGCGATGTCTTCCGGGACATGAGGGGGAGTTAGATCACAGGCAGAATCTCTGGTTAACCAGCCTTCCCCACAATTCCCAATGACTCTTAATGAGAGAAGGAGGGGCTGCCGTGCTCCCGGGGCCCCTGAAGGCACAGCTATAATGATTCCAAATTAATCTTTAATTATTATTCAGCATGCACATGATTTTATCCCTCTTTCTTCTATTCCCTACTAGGGTTCTTAATTCCATTTCCTTTTCAAAGCAAAATGAGTTTGGCAGGTGAAGGGAAATGAGGTTAAAGGGTTAGGGTGACCTTTGGTTGGACGTTTTCAAATAAATTCAGTGTTACTTCTGAAACAATTATAACCATTATCATCATCAAACAAACATGTGTAGGCTGAAGCCTTGCTCTGACAGTACATGGAGGTGGGCGGTAGAGAATTCTGCTGCCAGTCAGGGACAGGAAAGAAATGGGGGTAGAACGAGATCCCGCCCCCCCCGCCCCCAGGGATTTGTAGTTGTAAAACAGCTGCCTTATGCTGACCACATTCAGGCCACTGTCCAGCCCAGGGCTCAGAGCCTATGACCCTCCTCTTTCCAAGAGTTTTTCTCAAAAGTCCCTATAATATAGAAAAAGAGGATAGGAATTCCCTTTCCTTGTGTGAGAGCAGGGGGCATGTTTGGGGAGGCTAAGCACTTGCCCCAGGACACAGGAGAAATTCACAAGGTACTAGATCCTGATGATTAGGAAATCGCATTGGTGAATCCTATCCCCTCTCCCCATCCCTTCGAGCATCCAGAGGCTCCTGTCTAAAGGGGAAGATGAATAGAATATGGCAGCCTGGATTTTGTTTAGTGTGGCTCCAAGCGAAGACCTCTAAGTCAGCAGAGGATTCTCTGCTCTCTGGGAGAGTATGTAAGTGCAGCATTCAGGCACGGAGGAACAGGGGTCCCCACAGAGTAAAAATGTGTACTTAGAATCAACTCTGTTAATAGCGAAATATACATTTTTAATTTGTTCTATGATGGTATAAAAATGCAAAATTTTTCATCAAGAGATTACAAATGTTAATGAAGAAAAAACAAAAACAAAAACGTGTGAGCATTTTGGTTAAAAGGGATTGTGGTATTTCGACTCTGTCATCTCCTCGATAACATCTACCGTGTCCATGTCCGAGTGATCTGCGACCTTCCCAAATATTTTAGTCTCTATACGCCAAGAGGAAAGTGCATTACTTCATGGAAAATTCACACACTGCTACTCAGAAGGCGACCCTGCGTTTTTATTATTCTCAAAAAAAAAAAAAAAAATCCATGCCATCGTCTGCTCCCCAAGAAGGGAGGAGCCAGACATCAAGACATTCCTGGGCCAGTCCCAGCTCGGGCTCTGGGTGCCAGGGGACCCAAATCCTGTCAGGAAAAGGAGCACAGGGCAGTTACCTGAAAATGTATGTCCCGTTCATCCCGAAGATGTTTGTTTCTTTCCCTGCAAATGGAAAAGGGGAATCTCTTTAGACATGGTGTTTGGGGTTGGTAGATCCAATAGCTGTCAGTTTGCCAGGGAGGAGGGTGCGGAGAACTTGACATGGAAGGCACAGGGAACGTGTGGAATCTCTTTCCTTAGGGACAGTGACAAAGGGTAGTTTGTGTGTCCCTCAGCTGGAGGCAGGGGGAGAGACAGGATGACCTTGTGACACCCATAGCCCTTCAGGATGCTACCACTAGGGAAAGCCTCCCCCAGAGGGCAACCAGAAGTTTAGGTGCACCTGTGAGCTTGCTATTGGGGACGCCCTCTCTCTGAGCTTGCTATTGGGGCGCCCTCTCTCTGAACCGTTCATTTCATGCAATCATGCAGTCACTCAACAAAAGTTTCCTGAGCACCCACTCCAAGCGGAGCACGGCTCTAGCTATCAAGGTTACGAACAATGAATACAAGAAGGACTTCCTATCCCCAGGGCATCTTATTTTAGTGCTGAGGTCATTGCTATTGAGAAAGATAAAGCAAAGACCCGGAAAAAAGAGTGTCAGAGGGCGCAGTGGTAGCTCTGTATGGCGGTCACAGAGGGGACATCTGAGCAGAGACCGGCAAGAGAGGGGACCTGTGATGATATTTGAGGGAAGAGTGTTACAGGCAGAGGAGACAGCAAGGGCAAAGCCTGGAGTCAGGCTCTACTGGACGTGTGTGAGGAACAGAAGTGAGGGCATCAGAATGCTCAGAGGAGAGCCATTAGGATATGAGGGCAGAGAAAGTCGGGGTGGAAGTACAGCCCTGACCATTTGTGGTCTTGTGGACCATTGTAGGAAGTTGGGATTTTACTCCAAAAGAGATATGAAGCCATGGGGGGATGGGGAGTGGCAGTAGAGTATCCTGATCTCACTGAAGTTTTATAAGGAGCCCTACAGTCTAGATGCTGGGTTCCTAAGCACGTGTTCCTGAGTGTCCTGAAGTTGTTTCCACTCATCCCTTCCTCACCCCGTCACATCCCCCCCATTGTCCCGAGTCCACCCCCTTGCTCCCCGCAATCTCCGGCTCCACATTCCCACTATGCCTCTCCCTGGCATTATCTCGCTATTGACTCCATTTCCCCACTGCTCTGTCACTACCTGGTGATATCACTATGGAGGAAAACTGCCACATCTGGGCTGCCACCAGCTGCAGAATCTAAGCTTGTAAAGCATGCGACAGCACGGAAAGGCTTCAGGCGTGTGATTCTGCACCAATGCTGGTCTCCATCAAAAAGAACCGTGTGTACAGAGCTGCCTTGTTATTCTCCCCTGCTCGCTCTCTTGAATCTGTCCTTTTCTTCTGAGTACAATAGAAAAAAGGGGAAAAAAATCTCAAAAACTTGTCCTTGTACATCTTGTTCTCTTCTTTCCACTAAAGCCTCCCTAAGAATCAAGACCTGCTCTCAAATGGATTAGAACTTGGCCACAGCCCATTGAGTTCCGAGCACTTTCTCATTTGGTGGCATCACAGATGCCAGATATGGTGACCTCACCCGGCTTTCCAATAAAACAAAGAAGAAACTGGCATGCCTGGGTGCAGCAGTGGGGTAAGCATCTGACCCTTGATTTCGGCTCAGGTCACGATCTCAGGGTCCTGAGATGCAGCCCCATGTCAGGCTCTGTGCTCAGTGCAGAGTCTGCTTGGAATTCTCTCTCTTCCCCAGTCCCTTCCCCTACTTGCTCTCTAATAAATAAATAAACAGAACAGAACAAATCAGGGTGTCCCTGATTCAAGACCACTCCGTGCACTCTGAAAAATCACCTCACGCCTCATCACCGTTCCCACGAGGTGCTGGGCAGACAGAAGGTACAGGAACTTGGAAACCTCACAGACAAAAGTGAAAATCCCACCTTTCCCACACAGGGTTTGGTTTTGGCACATCCCAGAACAATGAGCTTTGAATTTACAGTGAGTCCTAACAAGCTGAGGAAACTCTCAAGTCCTTTGCTCTGTTTGTGCTCTATCCGTGATTTATCTACTCATTCGACAGACTTTGCGAGATTACGGCAGAATCTAGAGAACCAGCCAGATACCGATCTCAGTTCCGGCTTCCGCAGTGCGTAGCTCTGGCTCTTTTGGTAAATGGCTTCGTTTCTCTGCTATCAATTTCCTCCTCTGTTAATTTCTCTATCAGCCACTGCCCTCCTTTCCTTAGTTTCGTTGAAGATGAAAGGGTACCAAATCTGCCTCAGGGCAGCCGCTCAAGAAATTCAGTTCCCCTCCTACCGGACCAAGCACCGCACAAGGTGCTGCGAGAAATGCCATGAAAACGAGGCAGAGCCTACCTGCCCAGGTGCAGACAAGAGGGATGCGAGCATGTGTGTGTGTGGATGGACCAAACAAGATACACTGGGGATCAGGGGAATGAGGGCATTCTCTCGGCGGCTCTGACTGTCCAGAGTGGAGGCAGGGAAGACTCTCAGATTGGCCCTTCCCACCCAAGGCACCTGGGATGTGCTCTTGGAGCACACATGGGGCTCACGCACCTCAGGAAATCCAGCTGCTTCAGGAGCCCTGACTTCTCGCGCTGCAGACTCTCCGTCACGCGGTATACTTCCCTGAGGAAGAGGCAAACACGGCATTTCTGAGCTTCCATTCTGCCACGGTGGGAGGGGCTGTGCCGAAGTTGGACGCCCAGGACCCTCCCACTGGAACCCAGCAGGCAGTGCCCCATCCTGGGGACCGGGGGGTTTAGAGGACTCTGTCTCCCCTCAGCCCCCGGACAGCACCTGCCGCATGCACATGGTTCCAGCCGTGATCTCACTTCACCAGTACGGACGTCCTATTCGGAAGGTGAAATCATCCCCATTTCAGAGACACACACCGTCAGAGCGTCAGTAATTCTCCTCTTGTCACAGGGACCATCCATGACTGAGCCAGGGTTCTAATCTAGACTAGGACCTCCTACTCCCAAACCCATGAACACGGCGCCCTACCCAGGCTCCAGGTGGTCCTGCACAGCCCAGAATTCAGGAATTAGAACAAATATTCTTCTCCAGCCCCATCTTGGAGGGTAAGAGCAGAATTTGTATTTTCTTCCCTAATGCTGGTTGTGTTCATTTCCAGGAGCTCCAGAAGAATCATTCCTCCTTCCTTATTTTCCCCTGGAGGTCTCCTGTCTGTTCCTAGATCTCTGGAATTTCCACTGTTGGCCATTCATTTCTTTAACTTTGGATTTCTTATCTCTAGCCAGCAAGCAGAGATTAAATGTATCAATTACAATCAGATGCTTATATCTCAGTGTGAAGGTGTCAGTCATATCAGGAGTTTTGAGGAAGGGGAGGGAGAAGCTGAAAGGTAGCTGAGGCGTCTGGAGAGTGACTCAGACAGTGAGGCAGGTTTGGTCCCCTCTGGTTTGGTCCAGAGTGTTAGCATTTCTCTCTGCAACCCGGGGCTCTGCCTGAAGGCACAGTCCACAAAAAGCAGCAAGAAACAAAAGAAGAGTGGGGGAGGGAAGAAGGAAGGCAGGGATGGAGCAAGGAAGAGAGGAAGGAAGGGGTGAGTCAGGAGGTATTCAACACTACCCAGGGAGGAAAGGAAAAAAAGAAAGCAGAACGGGGTGACATCAGAAAATAAGCCTCGCTGAACTTCACAACTTTGTCTCCATTCTTCCTCTATGCTCTGCACCAGTTTAGAAATGTTTAAATCTCTCCTAAGCTTACTGCAAAAGGTCCATAGTTCCAGATTTCCAAACCACTTCTAGTGTAGGAAGCATCTTCCAGCCTCAGAAATGAGTGCATTTCCACAGGCTGTCTGGGTTCCCGGGATTGTGCCCACACGGAGGCTGGGAAGGACAGTTACTGAGTCATCGTGTGCCCCGCCCCCCCAACCCCAGCCCCAACCCTCAGTGTCATTACTGAGCTGGTGAAAATAGCACCTGCTTGTTCGATCCATCCAGACTTGGGCCAAACTCACCATAATCAGATTCCTTAAAAGGTATCGGTGTTTTTTCCCCCCGCTTATGGAATAATTATAAAGTCAATTCACAACAAAAACAGACTGAATCAAATCCTAAGTTCACCTCAGACAATCCTAATTAAGCAACAAAACTTCTCTCGCTCCTGCAGAGCTGCAAATTCCTAACATTTTATTACCAATTATATTTAATTTCAACTTGAGGGAAAACAATGTATTTTCCATTACCCAAACCGGGTCCCCAAGTCCCTGTCTAGGATTCTGCTGTGATGAGCAGTATGTGAGCGTAGCTGCCTGTGTGCGGCTGCTCAGCCCCGGGAGCTGAGACAGCTTTGTGGCTCCTCTGCCCCAACGCTGAGCTCGGATGACACCAGGAGCAGACAGCTTCATCCTGCTAAGGACAATCACTTCTTGGGAATCTGAGGTCTGTGCTCTCACAGGGTGTTTGATTTAGGAGCCAATTCCTAAAAAGCAAGGCAGTCCGGTCTCCGCCCTGTTTACATAGCGCCTGTTGGCCACTGAAGCCACACAAACACGCACGTACATACGCACGTATGCTACATATCGACATGAACATATGTCTACCTGTTTGTCTGGGAAACAGACATCTATTTAGATACCCACAAATACTCAGGCTTTTTGTGTGTTAACAAAAAGAGGGGCATTCCTGAAAAACCAAATGACACTTGGAAATATGACCAAATGACCTTCAAAGTCCTTTTAACTAGACGTCACAAAGGTTTATACTAGGCAATCTGTGGACTGAGAGGGAAAGAACTTGGCATTTTTCATAGGAGTGACTGGCGAGAGGTTTATGGTCTCTTTAGAGAATTGCTTGCCGTTGGCTTTGTTTTCTGGAGAGGGATGAGATAGGGAATGTCTCCAAAATACATTGTCAAGTGAAAATTCAGGCTAATGAAGAACAGTGTACTACCACTTTGTAAATGAAAAGTGTGTGTGTGTGTGTGTGTGTGTGCGCGCGCGCATGCATAGAACATTCTGGAAGGAAACCAGGACTGCTGGCCTCTGGGTGATCGCTGGCCCAGAGTCATGGGTGGGGCAGGGGGCACGCAGGCCTCTTTTGGGGTGTATATCCTTTTGTGCCTTTTGAATTCTGTGCCTTGTTATAAACTACCTACCCCAAACAGAAATTCATTAACAAAATAGAGAGGTAACTGCTTTTCAGCTAACCTTCATCTTTATATTATCTCTACGGCTTGATTGTTCCTTCTTTATCTTATTTTAAAATCAAGTTCTCCTTCCTAGAGCATCTTCAGAGAAGAGAAAAATTAATTTGGCCCATTCAGAATCCTAGCTGATAAATGACTAAGTCTTTTTATCTCCCAATTCCATCCCCTCCCTTCCTGGCTGCTCTGGTACAACATCAGGCAGCAAGATGTTGGAGGTCGGGGGAGTGCCTGCTGTCGGGACGACTAGACTTGGTCCCTGTTTTCTGGTACTAACCATGTGGCTTTATGCCTCATGGAGCCTCGGTTTCTTCGTTCATAAAATGAACAGGTGGGCTAGAGGCTAAAGGCTCTCACTGCCCTTGTCTCCTGACCTCCCAGATGGGACACTCCGGGGCTCTGGGCATGCTCTCTGACTGCAGCATTGAGCGCTTTTTGAAAACAAGCCACGAAGGTTCTGAAATCATGTGTCTCTCCCTTCTAACCCTCCTTTTCAATTCCCAACCTCCAGAGATTGTGTCTCTGGCTTGGTTAATTAAGATAAGACTTCAGCAAGATTTTAATCCTCATGCTGTGATTTGATACCCTAGCACTGGCTGCTTATTTCCATTTGCTGTTCTAATGCTTGTGCCTTCAGATGTTTGTTGTTTTAGAACTTGATTGAATTTTTAAGAGGCTGAATCCTTAATTCTGTTTGTAAAGTTAAATGCCTGCGCCTTGTTGGCCTGCTCTCAATGAGGAGGAACTGATTTTGCTCGTTTGCGATGAAATACACTGTCCTGCCACAGGTCATCCAAGAATTGGAGTGAAGGGTTTTGTTTTGTTTTAAGTCAGCTACTCGGAAATACATTTTTTTTTTAAACTAGAGAAATCTTATTTGGGTAAAACTCTACATGCAAACACATTTCCTCCCTCTCACCCCAGGCAATCAGTCCCAGGCAGCACAGCAGAACATTGGGACTTGGGCCCATGGACCCAAATGTTGCCAGTGTCAGAGGGAGGGAGGGCTTTCACTTAACAAGGAGAAGGTGAACGTTTCTACAACTCAGCACTGCTAAGCAACACTGCCCTCTGAAATCAGAGCCTCAGTAATACCTGGCACAGGGCCAGGCACACGTGACCTTCTGCAGAATGAATGAAGGGAACCAATGGGAGCCTGAGCGAGTAATGCGTGAGCGATGGCCCGTCCTACTCCTGAATCAAGTGTTTTCTGGCTGACTCATCATGCGCTGTGGGGAGGCAGCCAGATGCATCTAGCACTGAGCCTCGTGCGCCAGTTCCTTAAGACCCTGGACCCTTGGCTTCCTCATCCGTGCGGTGGATACTCACAGTTCCTGCCACAGCAGGATACTATCAGGTTCATAGGCAATTATGTCGAATTATTGACATGGGGGCGATACACAGAATGCACAAAACAGTAACCAGCAGAGAAGTTTTCAATAAACGTTTGACAAGTGACTAAGTAAACGGATGTACGGGTAAATGCGTGAATGAATAAACAAGGGGGAAGCCCCCATCCCTGGGCACGCCAAGGAGTGCATTTGTTCTCAGAAGCCAGTGCTCCCAAGACGAGATAAATAGCTGGTCCTCCAGCAACTGCTCAGGCTTAGCACGCAGACCCAGCCCCGGGTCCTTCCTCGCACCTGCCTCTGTCCAATAGGCCACGCCCAGTGCAGCTTAGTGGCGAATGGGACCCCGAGAGACGTGGGGCTCCCACGCACTGGGCCCACATGGAGGAGAGAGTGGGCAGCCTGGACTGAGGATTCCTGGGCACTGTCACACTCCCACAGATTCTATGCTGACCTAAGATGCCTACTTGCTTCACTCTTGTCCTGGCTCTTCCCATCTCTCAACTATGACAGTCACCTCTCTTTCTGCTCTCAAATAAATCTTTAAACATTTAAAAAATAAAATAAAATAAAATAGAAAGGGGCGCCTGTGTAGCTCAGTCAGTTAAGCATCCAATTCTTGGTTTCCGCTCAGGTCATGATCTCGGGGTCATGAAATAGATGCCCTCGTCAGGCTCCATGCTCAGTGGGGAGGCGGCTTCTCTCCCTCCCCCCCCCTCTGCCCCTTTCTCTGCTCTCATGTGCTCTCTCTCTCTCTGTCTCCCAAATAAATAAATAAATAAGTCTTTAAAAGAAATAAAATACACGATGACAGTCACTTGTGCTCTGTCTGCTCATGCAACCTTTTCCCGAGGACCATCTTATATTTGTTGGTTGGATAACACGTCTCTCTCATCACATAATAAATTTTCCAAGAACAGGGTTGTAGATGTCCTATGCATCCTAGATTATGCTGGCCACAATCTGCTTAACGGCTTCAGCATCCCAGCAGAGATGTTCAGGGAGCAAGGACCCCCTGGGCCTCATGGGGGAGGCAAGGCGACAGGGTCTCCAAGAGAGGAGACGGCAAGCTCAAAGCAAGCGGGTAGAGCTGGTCAGCAGTGACAGGAGCCTGCGAAGGCCGGACTCACAACTCCTTCTCCTGGTGGAGTTGGGAGGCCTCTTGTTGGAGGCTTTCCAGCTGCTGCTGGGCATCCTGCAGCTCCCGGGACGTCCGTTCCAGCTCCCGGGCCAGCTCCTGGTTTGTGACTTTCAGCTTGGTATTCTCAGCCTTGGTTTCATGCTCATCATTTTGGAGCATGGCGCACTGGCCTTCCAGCTGGAACAGAAAGTGGGGGAGCAGAAGGGAAAGGTAAGCAGCCACCATCCAGTCTGGCCTGCCCCCGCCTCCCCTCACTTTCTCCACCTATGGGTGGGAGCCATCATGGCCAGCCCTCACGGCCCCACAGCCTCAAGGGGTTTTGTCCTGCTCCTTAAATCACATGGATGCACTTCTGGAGGCAGCGGGAGCTTTCAGAGCACTTCTCATCTCTCCCCTGCCTCCACGGGGCTCCTGAACAGTCCGGAGGGAGTGGCACCATTCAAAAAGACTGCTAGGAAAGGAGGGTCAACACTCCATCTGCATCCCGCATCCCAGTGACGATAATGCTAGCTGTGATCCTCTCATCCGTGGTCTTGAGAGCCAACCTCGATCTCTCGTGTCCTTTCAGCCAATTGTCTCCCTCAGCCCTGATGAACATGGAAGGCAGCTAAGTGGCATTTTCCATAAAACCATCCTTCCCAGTTCTGAATGCTGACAGTAAGTCCACTTGTCCCTTTTTCGTCTCTCAGCTAAATAAGGCCAATTCCTTTAGTTTAGAGAAACTTTGTAGGGTGGCCAGAAACCCTGGAAATTCTTAGGAAACAGCTAAAACAGGTCAAACCAAACACATACCTTGTTTCCTGTCCCTAAAGCAGCTAAAAAAAACCTCTGCATTTGTGTAAATGCAGCTCTTCTTGGCTGGTGGTTCTGCTTTGCAGAGCTTCCAACCCTCTCACCAGAGAAGGAATCAAACCAAAGCAAATATATCATAATAAATTTAGTTTAATGAATGTGGCCAGGAAGGGGAGGAGGAGGCAGCAACAAGGAATTTTGTGTGATTCTCAAGAGGCCTATGTAATCAGGCAAGCATGCAGTAATTAAATCGAGTGGCAATCATTCATTTGAGGGATAAGGTAAGAACGTAATGCATAATAGCGACGAGGAGTAGGGGCAGGAGAAGGTAGGGCTGCAGCAGGAGAAGGGGAAGGCAGCCGGCCATTCCCTGAGTGGAAATGATCTTGCTTGCAGAAGGAAGAAATCAAAATCCATAGGCTGGGTAGCAGCAGGAGTGGGACAGTGTCTAGCTTCAGCGTGGGGCAGCTTCAAGCATATTTTAATGTGTCGCTAAAAATAGCCCTCTCTATTCAAGCAAGAGCAATATGTCTGGGTCTGTCCAGGGCTGGATTCCTTCCAGTGCCAGACAAAATAAAACAGGAGGCCAAGTGGCACCCTGGCGTCTCTCCCCGCTGGGCCTTTGCTTTGGGGAGGAGGTTGAGAGTGTGAAGTTTGCCCGGGGAATCAATCTTCCCGGGGTCATTAGCCAGCCCTATACAGTGAGTGCACCACCCAGACTACCTCCTGGGGGGTCAGGTGCATCATAGGCCCATCTGGTGTCTGCCTCCATCCTGGGGGGTGATGGGAGCAGCCACAAAAAAAATCTGACGGACATTTTGGGGGCACAGAGGAAGACAAGGGGCACAGAGGAATCCGTGAACAAATGGATCTTTGAAGAGCCTCTTCCTACTGGAGGTATCCGTGGCCATGGGAGGAAGGAAGGCAGGAAGACGTCACTGTCTGCAGCCTTCCCCAAAACAGCGGCGACTATGTCCCTTGTATCTCAGCATCCCCCTCTTTCCTGACACAGGAAGCAGGCAATGAATGAATGCATTGGCATTCTGGTGGCTCCCGGGCATAATTATAGGACGATGTCTTCAGATGCCTCGAGGGAGAATTCTTGGCAACTTTCCCAAACTGAACACCTGGCCCGGGAGAGGTGAAGGCTTTATCCTGGCATCACCTGTGATTTCAAATGCTATCTTTTGCGCAGCTCAATAGTTCTTCTCGGATTAAAAACGGACCAACAAACCAACCAGTCCCAGGCCTCCAGCGAGAAGCAGCGTAGCGGAGAGGCAAGTGGGCAAGGGCCAGCAGGGGAAGGGGTGGGGACCCTGTGCTCCGAGGCGGCCACAGAGGCATACCCGTTTCTGCTTCTGGGTGAGCTGCTCCAGCTCCTGCTCCTTTGACAACAGTTTCTGCTCCAGCTCCTGACTGTGGGCCTGAAACCTCTCCGTGTCCTGCCAGGCCATAAAGAAGGACATGTGAGGCCCAAATGCACGTGGGATGGAGATTTCTCCCTCCCCTCCCCCCGACCTCGTATTTGCTCAACAGCAGGGCCCACCCATCCTTTCAGCCTTTGGGGCCCTTCCCACCACATTCCTGCTGCGGGGCCCTGACTGGCTGGGCAGTGAGGCCCAGCGAGACAGAGAAACCACAAGTGCTCCATCATCCATGACACCAGGTCCCACAGAGTGTGTCCATGACCGGGGACTGTGTGCCACGCCTCCCCTTCCCCCAACCCCCCTCCAGAGAGAGGCAGTGTCCCTTAGCGGTGGAGTCCTGAACACAGAGAACAGAACAGGGGCCTGAGTTTGAATCCCAGACCCCCACCTCCCCCTCTGTAAATGGGGACAGGGGCAGAATATCCTTCCAAAATGGATATTCTGTTCCATGTTGGGTAATATCTTTCGATCCCTTAAACTGCCATTGCTGGGGAAACACAGGGCATCGCTTCTTCCCCCGAGGGTCTAGGTCCTCACTGTTTCCCATCGTGATGGAGGAGCCCCAGTCCTGCTCTTCAGGAAGTCGCTGCCCCTGTGCTCGACAGCCCCTCCCCTCCTGCCCTATGACTGGGCTTCCCTGCTCCGGAAGCTGACGACGCAGTGTGAAGGGGCTTGGGGTGGGCAAAGAGAGAGCCATGTGGGTTGTTGGGATGGCTGACACTCTCATGGAGCCTGGTCTGGTGCAAAGGCCCTTGGCTGGGCACCAGGGCACTGGGATTCCAGCCCTGGCCTTACCCAGCTGTCCTTATTTCTTTGCTCACAGGGTAGAAACAAACACTTGCAGGGCCCCTGCAGCTCTCCACTCTCCTAAAGGCAGAAAGGAGGGGCAAAATGCGCAGGAAGAGAAGAAACCATTATAAGGTCCATATGACTCACTACTGGAGCCCCTGGGGGGCTGCCGGCCCAGGAGGACAGAGTGGGATGCTGCTAGCTAAGGGGACTACGAGGTTGGGCACGATGGTACCCCTAGGGGAGTGGAGGGCATGCAACCACTCCCAGGGGACAGGCCAGTGGACACCTGGGTTCAAAAGCTCAGGATTTGTCTGGGCTCATCCTCTGTAGGTGCCACCCGGCTCCTCAGGCAGGTAAAGAGCTCCAGGAGAGCCTGTGATGGTCTCCTGTCAACCACAAGCGACGGAAGAAGCAGGATCGAACCAGGCAGCGCCTGCTCTCAACTCTTCCAGCAGGAATCCTGCTTCATTCAGTTTGGGGCAGTGCTCCCAGAGTGGGCACCCTGTGAACCGGGCTGGAACGAGGGGGGCCAGGGGGGCAGCTCCTGAATTCCAGTACAAATGCTGCCATCCCCACAGGGGGCCGGCAGAGCCTGGACGGAGTCTCTTACTCCGGAGCTGGAGCGTGCAAGCGATTACACATTTCCCTCACGATCAAACTGCTTTGTGTAGCACCATGCTCCAAGCCCTGTCTGGAAGGGTCAGCCCTTCCCATGCGGTCCTAAACTGTAACACCACTGTCCTCCCCCCGGGACCAGGCAAAAGCCGGTGTCTGCCAAGCCAAACACATCTTCACAGTTCCCACGTTCCCGTACAAAGTGTACATCTAAGCACTGAGTCTGAAAGGCAAGGGGTACTAAGCAGGGGAAGGAGGGAGCGGAGGGTGGGTGAAGGGGTACAGCAGCGTGGTGACATCACCTTACATGATACAAATGTGTCCTTGAAGTTTCTCCTCCCACCTCCTCCCTTTCCCAGTTCCCATGCTTTGGCCCACCTTCCGCTTCTGGAAAGCATGCTTCTTTCCTTAGCTAGGACCTTTGACCTGTAGTCATGACCTAGAAGTAGATCATGTGGGGTCAAGAGAGTGGCTTTCCCACTGCAGGGAGGAAAAAGTCTGCTGTTCTCAGAAAACTATCGTAGGGTCCACTGGGTGAGAAGTGTCTGGGTACTATCTTTCTTATACTCACCCAACTATGCTGAAGGTCAGGGGACAGGCCAAATATTTTAAAGCCCCCAAAAAGGGGACGCCTGAGTGGCTCAGTGGGTTAAGGTTCTGCCTTCGGCTCAGGTCATGATCTCAGGGTCCTGGGATCGATCCCCGCATTGGGCTCTCCGCTCAGCGGGGAGCCTGCTTCTCCTCTCTCTCTGCCTGCCTCTCTGCCTGCTTGTAATCTCTCTGTCAAATAAATAAATAAAAATCTTTTTAAAAAAAATTTAAAAAAAAAAGCCCCCAAAAAGAGCGAGGGGAGAGTCTGGAAATACTGACAAGCCTTCAGAGGGATCTAGTTGGAGAATATGACTGGCTTTTTCTGGAAAGCATTCCAACTCCACCTCAATGTGAATGGCATCTGTGAGAAATAGAACCTTGGTGTGGATAATCCAACCAGTGTAAAATTAAAAATTCAAACCAACTTGCATTAAGGAGGAGGGATGGTGTTGTGATAATGGCCCAGGTTTGGTTCTGAGAGGCACAGGGTGACATGGTCTCTATGTTGTCACATATTGAAACTTAATCCCCAAGGAGGTGGGTCCTTCGGGAGGTGAGTGGGTCCCGAGGGCAGGTGAGTGGGTCCTGGAGGGCAGAGCCCTCACGAGTGGGATTAGTGCCCTTATAAAAGTGACCCCCAGGCACTTGCCTGCCCCTCCGCACTGTGAGGCCACAGGGAGAAGGCCACAGCCAAACCCAGGAAGTGGGCTCTCACGAGAGTCTGGCCACCACGCCAGCCCCCTGAGTTGGGACTTCTGGCCTCCGGAGAAATAAATGTTGTTTCTGAGCCCCTGCTTATGGGATTGTAATAACGGCCTGAACGAAGGCAGGAGGCTACCCTTCAAGATTAAAGACTTTTCTGCCGAGAACCCACCAAGTGGATAATCCAAAAATAGAGGAGAGAGCTTCCTACAGCTTTGTTTTATAAATATGTTCCCCAAAGGCCCCTGCTTAGTTTGGAAAAAAAGGTGGATTTCACCAGTTCTGACCCCCCAAGGCAAATAGCAGGGCTTGCTTGGAGGCTAAGTGCCAGACTAGGAACAAGGCATAGAAGTTTCTAAATGTTCTCCCACAGTGTCCGAGAAGGGTGGGATTTGACTTGTCTTGGGTATGACATTTTCTAGGTGTCTAAGGGAAAGAACAGGAAGCGTAGACTCTAATGATGGCCCCCTGAGGGGAGTTGCCGGGCACGGAGTGCAACGGACCCCATCCGGTGGGCCTGTCCCATGGCTCTGGGGACCAGCCAGCGTCAGACCCGGTCTTCAAGCTGCTGTGACGGGCAACACCTGTACCCTCACCTTTTTGTTCATTGATGTGTTCGTTCCTTTGTCCCTGTTCATTCATTCAGTGATTCAGCACAAGTTTGCTGAGGACCTACTGTGCTCCAAGCACGGCTGCGGTGCTGAGGACACTTCAGCAAGTGAAATAAAGATTCCTGCTCTTAGGGAGCTTTGATGTCAATAGGAGGAGACAGACCCCAATCAACAAAAATAAAGATGGAATTTAAATGCCACATTTGAGGGGGACAGATGCCTTGGAAAATCTAAATAAAGCAGAGAAACAGGGAACCCACGGTGCCGTGGGTGGGGGGTACCCTGCAGTCTTGAACTGGGGGAGGAGGGCAAAACAGGCAAGCTTTCCGCCAGGCCCTCAGATCCAAGCCCCGGTGTGCACTCTTACTTTTAGGAGAAACTGCTCCTTCTCATGCTTGATTTGCTGTTCCATCTCCTCATAGAGATGCTGGATTTCTTCATCATAAGCAGCAATTTTCCTGCAGAGGTGGCAGAAGGAGAGTCTGATGAGGTCTACACCCAATTTCCTTTATCCCACAGTGTGAGTCCTGGAGCTTGGGCACCAGGACCCCGTCAGGAGCCTGGGGTGGTGGGGGGCGACTACGTAGGTCCTGTCCCTCAAAGCTGTGGGATCAGTTCCTCAGGATTAGTGGACCACAAAGGCCTCGAGGGACCTTCTTCTCCTCCCAGGTGAGGAGGCCATCATTTCTAGATGACCCTCACACTCCTCAGTGAGGTTTCTCTGGCTCCGTTTTCCTTAACCTCACTTTATTTCAACAAGGAGCCCCAACCTCTGTAGATGGACCTCCCTGTTGTCCGCTAGTCCTTACACCTGTAGTGAGCCCATAAAGTTGTATTGTGTGGGCTTCTTTCCTGTTTGGGTTCTTGGCTGCTCTCCTTCCCGGTTTGGATGCTTTCTTTCTACTTGGCTAAATCAGCACTCTCTGAACGGCACTGTCAGAGGGCTCTCCCGAAACCGTGTGCTTGTGGGATGCACATTTCTCAGAAGATGTCAAAGGATTCCATGATACTGACAACCACTGACACCACGCCCCCTCCAAAGGAAGGGGAGCCACATCTGTGCAGTGCTCATGCCATCTCAGGTCCAGGGCCCCAGGCAGACAGCATGAGAAGAGGCGGGCTGATTCAAGGTGGCGGTGATAATGAGATGTCCTCATCCCCCCTGCCAGCATTTTCTCCCTACGCCGAAGAGCCCCTTAGGACAGAAAGTAAATACCCAGAGACTCTGCTCCTATACAAAGACCAAGACAAATGTGGCTATGGGAACAAAGGTTATAGGTCATCCCTGGTATTGCTCCTCTTCCTCTCCTCAAAGAGGTCCTCCTTAAATGCCCCCCAACACCATGTTAAATGCCACACACACACACATCCAAATTCAAAGAGGAAGGCTGAGCATTTGAACTGAGATGGAAGTTATCTGGCCAAAGCATCCCCATTCCCAGGGGACTGCACTGCGACCCCACTTCTCTGCCTGCCAGTGAAATCTCTGGCTCAGTACACCCTGGGCCTCTCTCTCACCTGTTAAGGGGAATCCAGGAGCAGGCTGACATCTTGGCTATCCAAGGTCTGATTTGAACATATATATACTATAAAAGTTGGCACTTGCCATTCTAAACTCAAATTCCCTTTATTCAAGGAAGGAGACTTTAATAACGAAGGAACGGGCTCTGGTTTTCAGTGCTGAGAGGTACTCGAGAGATTTCTGAACAAAACATCAAGGACAGCAGCACATCTATTCCTCTACGCCCTTCATCATTCAAAGCCCCTCCTTCCCAATGTCCACGCAGGACTCTGATCCAGGCCAGGTCTTTCCCGCTACCCAAGGATGTTCCTTTCTCACTTGCTACCCACGTCTCATGCACAGACAGAGCATGACTAAGGAGCCATTTTGATTGGCATCCTTCCAGTTCTATAAGAACCACAAAACTGACCCAGACAAGGAACTGATGTGAGTCTTCAAGGCCGAGGTCACTCATATCGAAGCAGAAGCCTCTAAGTTCCCTTTCTTGGTTGGACCCTCCCTCCCCCAAAGCCAGAAACCCTTGGAGTGAGTGTGGCAATGGCCTCAGGATGCACTCAGCGAAGGGACAGTTCCCCGAGCTGGAGCCCTGGCTTTACCATCAAGCTGGGTGTAGGAAATGTCTGGTTGGCTAGGAGTAAGAAATCTCTTCCTGCTAAATGACAGATGCTTTGGATTGTTACTATTGTTATTAGCCAGCTCATAACAAATACAAGAAAATCTTGGTGAGCAATAAGGAGCAAAGCTACCTGCTGTTGAATAGGGACACCTCAAGGGCAGACGGGAACACTGCCTGAGCGGACTTTCAGAAAGAAAGTCTCCTCTTGGTCCCTGGAATTACCTTCTTATGCTCAAAGAAATCCCAGTGCTAGATGGCAAGCGGTATCAAGGACAACTTTAGACAGTGATTCCAACTACATAAATACTGAAGGACTAATAAAGTGAGATGAGAGAAACTTAAAAATTAATTTGCTCTGATAAAGCAATACCAATTATAGTCATCCATTATATGGATAAACAGCTTATAGCTGTTTACCATTTATGCTTAATAACCATACAGGGCATCAATTCTATACCATCATTAAATGCGTTATATTGACTTTGCTCTAAGTTTTATTTGATTACATTAAACTCTTTTTCAGGCTCGCATGTCAGCTTGCTTATCATAAAGTAAGTAATTTTGCAGACGGCTAAAAAGACAAATCAGGGGAGGGCAGACATAGCCTCCAAATGGTGCCTCCTTCTAGCCCTCATTAACAAAGGTTGGGTCCATTGCAAAGAAGCCCTGGGGTTCCAGGTGGGCATCAATGAGCCAGAGTCCAGTCTAACCAGACTTATCCGTGGCACAAAACCTCTGGAAATGCTTTTGAATAAAGCTGGTATCCTAGGGGACTTGGCCAGGCCTGAAGGTCTTCAGAGCATGAGTCCCCTAGGACCAATCAACTCATGACCAGCCTGAGTCAGACACATGAGCCCCAGGAATGGGGCGGGAGTAGAGGACATCGTGGTGCTGTTCACACCACTCACACCACTCGACTAGCTCAGGGCTCTAAAAGACTGGGTTCTGAACCCGGAATCACTCATATCCTCAGTGTGACCTTGAGTGCTCAGACCTCCTTACATCCCAGAGTAGCACCTGCCGCGAGCTCCCCCACCCCCGTCCCAGCACCAGCATGATGAACAAACGAGAGAGCGGGAATGAAATGCATTTGGAATCGCAAGGCCCTAAATAAATGTGAAGGATTGTGGATATCATCATTACATTCAGGTTCAGTGGAGGGCAAGAGCCATCGTTCCCCAAGGGGAGGAAGGTCTCGGTTTCAAGGATAAAAGTGCTGCTGGGCTTGGAAAAGGTGAGAGGTGATCAGGAAAATGAAGAACGGACAGTTCCGTCAATGAAAGCTCCTGTCACATGCATCTGTTAGAGACGCAGGCTGCGTGTGAGCGGGAGCTGCAGAGCCAGAAGCCTGTGTCTGTGGGGAGCTCTGCAGTGGCCACGGGAAGGGTAATCGTGAGAGACACTCTAAAAAGGTCTGTGTGTGCGGCATGTGGCGCACCCGCAGGCACATCGTATTCCTCCACCAAAGGACAGAAGCGACCCGTTACGTTGACTTAGTACATACGTCTCTGTTACCACAATTTCAAAAACCACTTGCGTTGCCCAATGCACACATACACTTTTTTGTCTTCTCTGTGAGGATTTCCCCACCTATGCGCACCCTCGCTGACCCCTTCTCTGGAGTCTTAGAACACCAAATGTCTTTAATTGAACGTTTCCTTTTGAAATCCTGAAAAAAACGTCTTGTCTGGGCTGATGCTGTCTCAACAAGGTTAGGACACTCGGATACTTAGTCATCCACAGGGTCTATGCTCAAAAGGTGAATGCAGAAAATCTGTACAAAATCAATTTAAGGCTTTACTGGGGGAACACCAGATTCCAGAGGAATTGAAGAATTTCAGGGTGGGAAGTTCTGTCTGATCCAACCACCTGTTTTCCCCGGGGTTAAACCCCTTGCCACAATGTCCCTGCCGGGTATTTACCCAAACTAGATTAGAACACCTCTAGTGAGAGGAAGCTTGGCTGGATCTCTAAACAGCTCTTTCATCTTTGGAGTGTTCTAGCTCACAGAAATATATCTCTCTATGACTCTGTCCCTCTTCTGCATAAAAACCCTTTATATATTTGAAAACAGCTCTAAGACTTCAAGGATTTGCCTGGGTTTATGCCATGCCTCTTTTTTTTCCTCCAACCATGGCTCGCATGGATTTTGTTTTGTTTTGTTTTGTTTTGTTTGTTTTGTTTTGTTTTGGTACCTCCCTTCACCTTCCTCTTTACTTTTCTCTGAATGTGTCCTGATTTAGCATCCTTGAGCCATGGAGCCCCCAACCGAATGCCCAGTGTATGAAATCTGATTAGCACAGCTTAGAGCTAGACTAGGCCCGTCTTGCTCTACACACTGCCTATCTATTCATGCAGTCTAAAATCACATTAACTTTTCTTGGCAGCTGCATCACACTTGATGAATGCCGAACCCATTTGTCAAGTAAAACCTCTAAATCTTTTGTCTGTGTGATTGTTTTTCTTTTAAAGATGGTGCTACTGAATCATATCTCTTCAGCCGTGTGCTTCTGTCATTGGCTTTTTGGACACCAGAGCAAGATCTCAGATGCAATTCTGTTAGAGTCAGTCCGTCTTTCCAGCGTGACATTATCTTTCTTTTTTTTTTTAAGATTTTATTTATTTATTTGATAGATAGAGATCACAAGTAGGCAGAGAGGCAGGCAGAGAGAGCGAGAGGATGAAGCAGGCTCCCTGCTGAGCAGAGAACCCAATGTGGGGCTCAATCCCAGCACCCTGGGATCATGACCTGAGCCGAAGGCAGAGACTTTAACCCACTGAGCCACTCAGGCGCCCCTAGCGTGACGTTATCTTAATGGATCCCAACTGGTCATCCAGTGTCCTCAATGACCTTCCAAGCTTTATTGGTGTTTTAGATGTTCAATCATAATAGAAGGTAAATAATATATTGTCTTAGTTTGTTGGTTTTGATGATTTAATTCATCTGAGAGTTGTTTAGAGAAGTATTTTTATCTTTATCTTTTAAAGATTTTCTTTATATATTAGAGAGAGAGAGAGAAAGAGAGCACGAGTGGAAGGTGGGACAGAGGGGGAGAGAGAGAGAGAGAGGAAGTGGGCTCCCCACTGAGCAAGGAGCCTGTTGCGGGGCTGCATCCCAGGACCTGAGATCATGATCTGAACCGAAGGTAGACACTTAACCGACTGAGCCATCCAGGTGCCCCTAAAAGAGGTTTTTTTTTTTTTTTTTTTTTTAATATAAAATACTGGTTTTTCTTTATTTATATATTTATAAAAAAAAAAAAAAATATATATATATATATATATATATATATATATATATATATATATATATACTGGTA